AGTTTTTAATACACCTCCAGACATAAAATAAATCTAACTTAAACACAAATATTAAAAAAAAATTCATAAAAAACGTTTTAATAACAAGCTTTTATGTAATGATGCACTAAAAAGTAGAAAATAAATTATAGACTACTATTTAAATAACTATAAAGAAAAGCGTGGGGCACTTTAGTACTTTAGTACCTATTTTATATCTTTACTAATATTTGAGAAGAGACCCACGCTTTTCTTTATAGTTATTTAAATAGTAGTCTATAATTTATTTTCTACTTTTTAGTGCATCATTACATAAAAGCTTGTTATTAAAACGTTTTTTATGAATTTTTTTTCAGTACTTTACATGTTTTATCTACAATAGAGTTACATGACTAAAAACCATTGCGCGCCTACTGAATATCACGTTCAGTAGGCGCGCAATGGTTTTTGAACGCAGCCATTACGTGGTCGTGATGGCGCAGCTATTGATGACGCGTGTGGTGTGGTTGGCTAGACATGCCTACTAATTCGGTCCAAATTTTAATTAATTCATAAAAAATCAATTAGGCATCCAATTAAGTCAAATTTAGTTTCAGATTGCATTGTCTTCATGTCTTGACCCACGTGCCAGCTGTGAATCGTATCGGTCAAGTAGAACTGTCCGAATTTTCACTCCTGCGTTTCCGTCTAGACTGACGACAGACTGACGACAGAGGAAGTGAGTTAAATAAAAGCTTGTAAAATAGCACACTTTTAAATTAACTAAAATAAGGAAACTTGTAAAAATAAATTTCTTTATTTAGTAAAGACGTTGGTGGATAAAATGCGTCAGAGATTTCATGAGAGACCAACTTGCTTGACACGTTGTTTTTTTTTAAATTGTCAGTCCGTATAAAAGCTTCCCACTATAAAGTTATTTATATTAGATTTATTTTCAACATTTAAGTAATTATGAAATAAAAAATTACAATAGCAAGTTGATATTTTAGTTTGGAGAACAAATAGTACCATATTTATTCTTTCCATTTCCTTCGCTCTTAATTAATATCCCAGACGATCGCAAATGTGTAGGCCTACTTTAAAACCCGAATAGCAGCTTTCGATCTTAACTCTAAATAACTTTATACCTGCCACTTATTCATGTCAGTGGGCGCGTCTCTTGGGGGGCACATCAGTGAACACCAGCTCACCGGAGCAGTCTTGATGATCGAGCGATAGCTGATACTTCTATTGTTATCTCCCCTTCTGTTAACGTATATATCGATCTTTAAATCAATTAAAATGACTAATATAATATCAAATTAGAGCGGAAATCAGATATTCTTACATTGTCATCAAAAACTAATTTATCTCGAAAGTTTTACGAAAGCGCTTCATGCAGAAGTGGGTCAAAGGTGTGCTACAATATTTACCACAAACCCCCTATTGTGTCATAAGAAGAGCTTTTAAATCTGTACTATTGCGCCACATAGAATAAATCTAATTGATAGCATCCTACATAGGTTATATCAATATATGTTAGGATGTTCTTTCGTTCAGCTGTATTTTTAAATCGAGATTCAAGTCAGTAATATATTTAATGGAAAATTCATATAAAAATGGGCAAAACTTGATAAATGAAATCTCTGTCTGAAATTTAGAGTTACGTTGAACAATGATTAAAGTGACGCCTCCTCTTACCGCGTGGGCCTATTGTGAATAACGGAAACATATTTTAAAATAGCCAACTATCAGCTTGATGAAGTCAGACTTAGTTGAAGGGGTCAGCCAGTGACGTCAGATTGTGGACAGGTTGTTGGAGTCAGCCAGTGGGGTCAGATTGTACAGGTAGGTAGCACCACCCCCCCCCCTCCCCACAACGTAGGCTACTAAAACTATTGTATCACCCTCACCCCCACCCCCTCCTAGATTATGTCACCCCGTGCCTAATAAAGTGGATAAATATTAAAAAGCACTTTCACATTAAAATTTGCTGTGTGATCGTTTTGGTGTCACCCTCCCCCTTCAATGGTATTACTTAGTGGCCCTACTATGGGGGTGACACCAAATCAAAATATCGTACATTTTTACTGTCGAAACCATTTTATATTTCGTCAAAATGATAAAATTGCAGGAAGAAGGGTGGCTCAAGACAGAAAATCGTTTGAGGGGTGGGGTGACACACTTTGTCAACTCACTGATTGACACCCGACCTATCGACGCCACTGCTTTAGTCGTCCAACTAGACTAGCAAGCCCTCAACAGAGTCAGTGGCGGAACTAGAAATCAAAGGCTCCCCCGCAAAGAAAAAACTAGGGCCCCCCTATATATATATATATATATATATATATATATATATATATATATATATATATATATATATATATATATATATCCTATATGAGTTATTTAGTCTACTTCATTGCAATATATAACCATTCTGAGAGAACTTTTTTTAAATACTTTTATTTGCAATTAAAACAAGTACATCAACATCACATTTTTTAACATAATTTTGAACACCAAATGAAAACGAAAGGTTTTGCAAATGTACATAATGAATATTTACATGATGTCATGTATTTGATTATAAAAAAAATATTGCAAAGGATGACAGTAAAAGGGGTGAAGGTCAAATGAAAGTGTCAGAAGTCTGGGTGGGGAGAGGAAAGGAAATTTTCTATGTAGGGAAACAACTTAAGTTGACTAGTTAAAAGGGTGTTGTAGTGGTCGCATTGAGTTTTCAAAAGGTTGCAGTGTGAAAGATGAGGGGAAAGAGACAAGATTTAGAACTTTAAATAAGTTCTGGATATTGATGTTGCGGTGGGTGGTGGGGTCGTTGGAACAGTTAAAGGGATTGTGGGGTTATCATGTCTGGGGGTAAAGTGGATAGAGGGGGAGAGAGGAGGGGGTAGATTTTTTTTATTTTTATTTTTATTAATTCAATTGTTTTAAAACATTTAAATCAGTAATAATAATATTTTTGATAGATTTTACATAGCATCAAAGACATGAACAGTGAACATCAATTGCATATATAATAATCAAAGGGAAAAAATGAAATGGCATAAGAACTAGATTAAAATAAGGTGTGTAAACTTTGTTTCTCTTCACTGCTTAGTTTAGTGTGCTGCGGAGTCAAAAGTTCACACTGTAGCCACCCATGGACAGAAATAGAAACGACTGTGGGAGAAGTGTCTCTGTAATCACGTACTGATCTATCATTCCAAAACTTTCCATGACATAAAATTGACCCTTGGCAATGAGGGCACGCTACCTTGAAATGTCCCCCACTCCGGCTGAGTGGGGGGGGGGGGGGGGGAGGAGTGTGTGTGTGTGTTGGGGGGGTTGAGGTGGGTATCTCTTTCTACCATTCAGGTTGTGCATTTTAAAACCCGGGAAACAGAAGACTGTTCTAATGTTAATTTACTTTGGGGGCTGATCGAGTGATGTTTGGCTTGAGACTGTCTAAATTAAAATTAATACTTTATTTATTTCTTTCCTGTATATTTCTTTTTTTTCTCAGTTAAGTGAGAGTTCCCAGTCTATGTCTTAGCTTTGCTTGAAATATTTCTTTTAACTCGATGTCCGTGTATTTTGTGAAAAATATATCTGACTTTATTCCTAGTTTGCCATAATATCGATCTATAAATAGCCATTGCTACTAGTCTGTTTTCGTGTTCTGTTCTTTGTCTAGTTGTGTTAATTAAATTAAGTGTGATTGCTTTATATTGAGTTATTAGTATCCGAAATATACTGGTCAAAAATATATAAAGACGTTAGGTTGATTCGTGAATGGTTTCTCGCGTTATGTTTATTTTTTTCATTTTTGGCTTTTATAATATCAATTTTGAAAACATTGATTTTTATAGCTATACTATTATATAGTACGTCTTATTTAAGTAACAATTCAGAGAATCAATTGCTTTTTAATTTACATAGTACAAAACTATTAAAATGAGCTTCGTGGGCATCCCTATTTTAAAGAAGGGCAGTAAGTCATGCAAGTAGTGTGAATGTTTACCTACCTTTCAAACTATAGCTCTTGTAGATTTTAAAATATTTTTCTACGCAACAATCTCTGCTATAGTAGACCTGTTTTTTTTTTTTTTTTACAAAACCACTTTCAAGATGCATAAAAAACATAATTTTTGAAAAAAAAATCATTGCTTTTTGGTCGGAACTGGGCCCCTAAACGTCCTGGGCCCCCCCCGCATTGCGGGGTCTGGCGGTATGGTAGTTCCGCCCCTGAACAGAGTCATGTGTGTCCATTTAGTCCTCGATTAGTCGTAGTTAGCTTAATTATTTAAAATATAGCCCACCGTATTTTTTATTCAAATTAATCGTCACGTAAGAACTTTATCAAAACATAATTGCGTTGTAAGTCACCCGATTCTGTAACTTACCCCCCCCCCCCCCCCCGCACCATGACATGGAGGGTCTCATATAATGACTGGCACTTATATTTTATCTCAAACTTTTTCAGACCTCGGGACTTGTCCACGATATGATATGATACCTAACGTAAAGTTGACATGATTAAACCTGACATCTTGGACAGGTTATATGTCGTGTTGTCTTCTGTCGATCAAACACACACCTTCACCTACAGAGACAATTATATTTTAACTGAGGGTCCGATAATGAAAGATAATTAATTAGCGTGGGTCATAACCCTTCTAGACATAGTCTGTTCAGTATGAAGAACCATTGTCAGTTATTGATGAAACGATCAATAAATATAAAATTCAATTTTAACATTAACATCATACAATTCGCCATAGGAAAGTCATACAGTTTAAATAACAAAAAAAAAAAAAATATTGAGATTAAACAGTAGCCCTATTTTTCTACTAATTTAAGCCAAGTGTGTCCAGTTATAAACCCAACCATTCTGGCTGAGCCTCTAATATTTTATTCACATATTTATTTTATAAATTAATATCTAATCTAGAATCTATACAAGAATCTCATTTGTTGAGATCATTATCAGATCTAGACGTTTTAAGAAAAAGGGGAAGCTACTCTAATATTAAAGTTTATCAAAATGGCAGCCTCCATCCTTTGAATGTCAAAACACACTGATGTAACGCTTTATGTTGACAGGCCTATACTGCTTAACTATGCATGGACTTATTTTTAAAATGTACGTTGGATTAGCTTTAAGTTTCATTTCTTAAATAAGCAAACATGTTACATAAATATAAAAAATTCTACAGCCAACACTGAACACTGATGAACTGATGATGATCTTCAAAATGAAAATACTTCAAATCAAAGTGTCAACAAACTCATTCCAACTCACAGAAACAAACAACAACATAGGACATAAGACATCCGACATAGATCTAGATTAGATTATCATTATAGAATATAGAAGATCCTAGTTAAACAGTAGTAAGTAGGGGCCTAGTACTAGTAGATCTACTTACTACAAAAATAGTAAGTAAATAGTAAATACTATTACTTAGGCCTAAATAAATGGCCGCATTTGCGCGGTTCGCTCCGCATTACGCGTAAGGCCGCCTTTGCGCAGTTTGCTCCGCGTTACGCTTAATCTTTGCCCTAGGTGGCACGCGATCTAAAAAAAACAGATATTATCAGGACTGCCCGATTTTTTTTCGTGGTAACAATTTGAATTTAATGTTGACATAGATCTAGATCGAGTTTAAGTGTATTTAGATCTCTATATTATTTCAACACCTAAGAGTCTAGTACTTGTAAAAAAAACAGTACAGTGTGCGTCCTAGATCTAGCAGCAACCTAGCTAAATCAAACTGTCCTTTAACCTTTAGGCCTAGCTATCTAGCATGCGTGATAGTAGATCTAAAGTCTATATTATTTATCCTACGTGAACTTAAAAAAAAAATTCAATTTGCTTGAGTGGGGAGGGGGGTGGGAGGAAGAGAGAAGTGAAGACAGACGATCTCGTGTGAACGTCTATGACGTATGCTTTAGGCCTGCTGAACTCAGTGACCTCGCCGACCGTGGGCCGTGGTGGGATTTTCCACTCACGGGATAGTAAACGTAAGGCAAGCAATCACGCCAGTGACGATGTTTGGAAATTTTATTTAAAAAAAAATAGAATCATAGTCTACGTCATATTTTCAATATGAAAAAAAAAATGTAAAAAAAAAAAGAACCGGCAGAGTAAACCCCAGGTTCGAACTCTGAACACGGGGTCTATGAACTTAGCCTACAGCTGGCACACTGCTGACTCAACCACAGCGGATGTGATAGAGAAGTCAAAAGTAAGCATTTTTAATTATAAGTTGGCAAATCAAACCTGCGAGACGCGTAGTATATTCTTTAGGGGCCACGCTTTGCGAGACGCGTAGTCACTTCGTAAATAAATACTACACTTATTTGTGGATTTTTTATACCAGTGTCCGATAGTTACCGATAGTAGAATCTAGAAGAATCATCTTAAAATTAAAAATAGTGGTGTTAGGTTACTCTCCGGTTACTGGGTTACTGGTAGTTAACTAAATAGTAAATACACACTTGGCTTGACAATCTTGATAATGTTACTTGTTAAGTTGTTACTTATAAATTAATATAAATGTCAATGCTAACCTACCTATACCTAACCTTAACCATTAATTTAACCTCAAGGGCCCAAACCTAGTCCTAGTCCTACTATTACGATAAATATAAGCCATAACTCTAATTTCTAACCATAAAACTAGATGAGATTACAATACTGTCAATACTTACTAACAACCTAACACACCTTTTTTTGGAAGAGTCTATTATCAGACATCGGTATCGTCTACCATTCCTCTAATTACTTAGATCTAGTACTAAGTCTAAGTCTTAGTCTTATTGCAACTTTCTTCCCTGTGCCACCACCTGCATTCAGTGCAGTAGGCCTATGTATTATGCAGACAAGTAATATACAGCCTTCAGACAATTTTTTGAGTCGACCCTTTGTATCCCTATCATCAGAATCAGATAATGAACCCCCAGTGTGGCCTCAACCAACTGGCTGGCTTGTTGCATTGAGTTAAACTCAAAACAATAAAATAAAAAATCTCATTTAAATAGGTTAGACCACATGCCATGCACACTTAGTGTTGTGTCTCATGCCTTGACTTTAACAAAAATAAACTAATCAGTTGAATAAATATGTATTGTTGTGTAAGCCTAATCTGATTACTAATTATTATATAATAGGAGTAACATTACAAATACTTTATTATATATTAATATGTATCCCTTTTAATTTATTTCAGCTTCAAACTTCAGACTCATTACTTCTGTGTATACCGCCATGCTTCTTGGAGTTCACACTCCGTTAGAGCTACATTTGTTGAGTATTTTAAAAGCAGGGGACATGAATCTGTTCCTTCATCCACAGTTATCCCAAAAAAAGGGGATGGAACATACTTCACCAACTCTGGGATGAACCAGGTTAGGCAGAAAGATGACATTAAAACTTAAAACATTGGTCAAATCAAAATTATTAAACAAATGTAGGCCTATTAAAATCTTAATTTTTTTTATTTTTTTTTTATTTACCAATTAAATTGTCATCACATCTCTAATTGTAATGTCTGACACTGTGTGGAACAGTTCAAGCCAATTTTTTTAGGAGAGTGTGACCCAAGTAGCAAGTTCTTCAGCTTAAGCCGAGCTGCAAACAGCCAGAAGTGTATCCGTGTGGGGGGCAAACACAACGACCTGGATGATGTGGGGCAGGACATGACACACCACACATTTTTTGAGATGCTTGGCAACTGGTCGTTTGGTGATTACTTTAAGGTCAGGTCCAGTGGTTCTATGTTATTTTCAAGTTTAAAAATAATTCTTTGCAGTTTTTGAATGAGCATGTTAAACAAGAATTAAAAGATTTGTAAATTAGTATAATTTGGTTCTATTTTTTAACTTAAATGAATGTTAGCTGTGAGTTTTTTTATTATATTATATTAATTAAGCCTTAAAAATCTGAATTAAGTAAAAAATACTTAAATATTCTTACCTGTCAAATGAAACTTTGTATGCATTAGATGAACTAATAGAAGACAATTTCTTTTATACCCCATTAGGAAGAAGCTTGTGCTATGGCCTATCAGCTGTTAACCCAAGAATACAAAGTCCCACTGAACAGGCTGTACTTCACATATTTCTCTGGTGATGATGCCATGAATGTACCAGCCGATACAGACTGCAGGAATATTTGGCTATCTTTAGGGTAAGGATTTTAATGCGCCAGTTAGGGGTCATCCAGTTTATGACGTCCATAAAAATTTGGAATTTTTAATTAATGCAAAATTATTCTAACACATCTTACACTATATAAAAAGAATAATAGGCCTATATTTTGTACCACTTAATAATAAATTAGGCCCTATGTTTATTCAAATTTTTTTTTGCCATATTAAACAAAAACTGCAAAGTATTTTAAACAATTATTTTTTTATTTAATAGGATTTTTTCTGCACACGTAGATGTCTTATAATCTTAATAATTATAGCATGTGCATGTATGTTTACTTCATTTTTCGTTTTATACCAAACATTACTCAATGCGGTCAGCATTTGTGCTAAGTCTGGAAAATGTCTAGAAAAGTAAATGTTAGACTTTTATAAGTCTGGAAAACCATTTGTTTTTGGGCTGGCTTTTAAAAAAGTCTGGAAAAAGTAATGAATTTAATGTTCTAAGATTCAAAAATTGTCTTTTTTACTGAAAGAGAATAGCTGATTTAATTCATAGATTTTATATGCAGTTTTTTAATTCATCTTTTTAATTTTTAAAATTTTAGATGTAAGTTTTTAGGTGTAAAATTCAACATGTGGACGTCCACACCCCTCTCCCAGTCCACACCCATCTACAAAAGTCTTTTTTTTTGTTTTAAAGCATCCATCCCTTTTGAAGTTAATTTTAATATTATTAAAAGAATCAACTTTCTCAGTGTTCCAAAGGAGCGTGTTCTTCCATTTGGACCCAAAGAAAACTTCTGGGACATGGGAGTTACTGGCCCCTGCGGCCCTTGCACTGAGATCCATTATGACCATGTTGGCAGTAGGGACGCGGCCCATGAGGTCAACACAGGGTCAGCCAGTGTTGTGGAGATCTGGAACCTTGTCTTCATGCAGTACAACAGGTAGTTTATGTTGTCTTAGGTCTTGTCTTCATGTAGTGTTAGGTCTTGTCTTATGTTGTGTTAGGTCTGTCTTTTGTTATGTTAGGTCTGTGTCTTCATGCAGTACAACAGGTAGTTTATGTTGTCTTAGGTCTGTGTCTTTTGTTATGTTAGGTCTGTGTCTTCATGTAGTACAACAGGTAGCTTCTGTTGTCTTAGTCTGTGTCTTCTGTTGTGTTAGGTCTGTGTCTTCTGTTATGTTAGGTCTGTGCTGTGTTATCTTGGTCACACTTTTTTAGTTATTTAAGTTTCAGTTTTGTTGTGTTAATATCTTAATATCAGTAGCTCATTCCTCTGTTATCTAAGATTCACATTGATTAATTTAGTCTCATTTTTATTTCATTGCATAGTTTTCATTTTTTTTTTGTGTTTACTAAAAGACTCAGTGTTTATTTGACTAGCTCTTAGTTCATTCAGAATGTTTTCAGGATATCTAAATAGATGTAGGAAAACCTTGATTTCATCAACTCTTTTTAATTTATAAACAAAATTCTTATTATTAATGCCATTCACCATAGTGACAAAAGCTTTCTGCGACTAATAAAGGACAGTTAAAAATGTTTTAATTCATACATGAATTTCCAGGTTAAAAGACCAGTCTCTCAAACCATTACCCAAATGTCATGTCGACACAGGCATGGGTCTGGAGAGAATGACAGCAGTTTTAAATGGCACCACAGATAACTACGCCACTGATCTTTTTACACCACTACTTGATTATATACAGAAGGTAAAACTTTATCATGCCATTAATTCTTTTATTAAAAGCCTTGAAATATTCTCCATGCTTTTTTTTTTATTCTTCATGCAATGTTGTAAATTTGTTATCTAGTAGTTTATGCAACTGAGATTTAATGTCTGCTGTTGCTACCTATGTTTAGACCACTGATGTATCAGCTCATAGGCGTCCACATTGAAACAATTAATTTAAAAAATATTGTTTGGATCTGCTTAGCTTGACTGATAAAAATATCAACTTTTAGATTTCTCTGCGTGACTGATAAAAATATCAACATTTAGAACCCCTCAGCTTGACTGATAGGTCTTGTGTTTCTCTGTCCAGACCTCTGACATTTAGATCCTCTCCCCTTGACTGATAGGTCTTGTGTTTCCCCTCAGCTTGACTGATAGGTCTTGTGTTTCTCTGTCTAGACCTCTGGGTGCACCCCCTACTGCAGCAAGCAAGATGACCTTAACATAGGGTACCGTGTGTTGGCTGACCACGCCAGAATGTTTACTGTTGCTATCAGTGATGGACTGCTCCCCAGCCACGACAACCTAGGGTAAAGTATCTAATAAGTTTACTGTTTCTATCAGGATAGGGTAAAGTTCCTAATCAGTTTACCCAGTTTCTCTATTGGTAGCTAACTCATGTAATTCAGTACCTAACCTTCTTCATTGGTAGCTGAAACTACAAATATTCTACAAATCTCAGAACTTAAGAAGCTTTACTCTAGCTAGTACACATCCCCAGGAACCAACCAGCTGAGGTAGTTTCCTACTAAGATCTAACAATCAGTAGGTGGAGTAGAGTCCCACATGTAATCTTGTCAGATCCTAAAAATGTTCTACTTAAACTTCAGTTTTGTTACTTTATTGTAGGCTACATGCCTTGTTAAACATTAAAAGATTTTGTGCAACTAGTCCAAATCAACAAATGAACTTTTTTTTACCCGTTAATCACCATGTTTAAAAAGTACATACCTTAGTGTGCTATGTTATAAAAAGTACATACGTGAGTATGCTATGTTATAAATGTTGGTACTTTGCAGGCACAAGCTGCGTGGTATCATCCATAAATGTATTCACATATGCCGCGAGACTTTCCGCATTGATCCACACGCTGTCCTACCATCTCTGGTGTCACTTGTGGTGCAGTCACTGGTAAGTCGTGTTTGTGGTGTATAGTTTGGTTCATGTGTAACATGGTACAGTCACTGGTAAGTCGTGTTGGTGGTGTATAGTTTGGTTTATGTGTAATATGGTACAGTCACTGGTAAGTTGTGTTGGTGGTGTATAGTTAACGAGCCGACCCGCTGCGTATCATACGCCGCTATTTAGTTGGTTTTTTTTTCTACTTTTCAGTAATTTATAATTTGTGAATTCGACAGTACCAATGCTGCCATTGAAAATATTTGCTTAAAAACACTAACCCCCCCCCCCCCCCCACATGAAAGCAGCCTCCTCTTAGTTACCTCCTCTAAGTTTAAAATCGTTTCAAACTAAATTATCTGCCCCTAATAGCCGTCACCAAACCCGTCTCTGTGATTGTAAAATGTAAACAGAGTGAACACCGCTCACCAGATCATGTGGGGGTGGGGTGGGGGTGGTAGTGATAGAGAGGAAGAGAGGGGACTGCAAAGGCGCGCTTGCAGCTTGTTTTCTAACTGATCCCAGAAGAGAATTATATATATAGATGTGTAACATGATAGTCACTGGTAAGTCGTGTTTGTGGTGTATAGTTAATGTGTAACATGGTACAGTCACAGGTAAGTCGTGTTTGTGGTGTATAGTTAATGTGTAACATAATACATTCACTGGTAAGTCGTGTTGGTGGTGTATAGTTAATGTGTAACATGGTACATTCACTGGTAAGTTGTGTTGGTGGTGTATAGTTAATGTGTAACATGGCACATTCACTGGTAAGTCGTGTTGGTGGTGTATAGACTGGTTCATTTGTAACTAATTAAACTGCTTTTATACAGCCTCATAAATATGTTACTACTTAACTTCCTTTAGGCTCAGTGCTGTGTAACATTATCCTCACATTTTTTACTTACATTATTTGATAAAGTATCTAACATTTTTATTTTATTAAATTTCAGGGACCAGTATATCCGGAGTTGAGGCTCAATGAAAAACAGGTAGTGACAATTTCTGAATCTTTAAAATATTCGAATCTCAATAATGATTATACCAATGTCATTACTTATCTGACAAAACAATGATAACTAAGCAATTAAAAAGACATTGTAACATTTTCTAGACTGTTGTGTAGGTAAGTTATCTTAATTTGAATTAATGCATGCCAAAAGGCATTAGGTAGGAATACAACCATAGTCTTAGATCCACTATAACAAAATCAGTGATCATCATCTTTTCTTGCGCTAAGTTTATCTCCCTTCTGCTGATCTAGATCATTGTTTCAGTAAGATAGGGATTCAATACGTCTACATTGATGAAGTTGATGATCAAATCATGGTTTACCATTTTACTTTTAGATCTGTGATATTATAAGTCAACTATAGTCACCGTTTAATATAATTTTATTTTACCTTTAGATCTGTGATATTATAAGGGCAACGTCATGGTTTAACACAGTTTTATTTCACCTTTAGATCTGTGATATTATAAGAGCAACGTCATGGTTTAACACAGTTTTATTTCACCTTTAGATCTGTGATATTCTAAGGGCAACCATACAGCACCATGACAGGTACAGGGAACAAGCACTCAAAAGTTTCAACAAAATGCTGGCTCAGTCTGGCGGTATAAAACACATTACAGGTAAACCAACAGGGATGATCAGTGTTTGCTTTGTCAGCAGTCACATGACCAAACTTGTCTCAATGTCAGCAGTCACATGACCAAACTTGTCTCAATGTCAGCAGTCACATGACCAAATTTGTCTCAATGTCAGCAGTCACATGACCAAACTTGTCTCAATGTCAGCAGTCACATGACCAAACTTGTCTCAATGTCAGCAGTCACATGATCAAACATGTCTCAGTTAAATTAAAGACATTTTTTTTTTCATTTAGATGTTTGATTTAATTTTTTATTGAAACTGCCTGAATAATAAGTTCAAATAATGATGGTTTTATCACAAATTAGCTGAAGAAGTTATTGTTAGAAAAGTTGTTGAATGTTTTATCACAAACTAACTGAAGAAGTGGTTGACCAAAGGGTTGTTTAGTCACAAGCTAACTGAGCTTGATATTGTTGAACCAGTTGAGGAGATGGTTGCACTAGAGAGGGGCCTGTATGGCAGCAACATTTCTATAGAAGTCATCAGTGAACTTGCTGCACTCAATGACCTCAGTTTGGACCTGGACGGCTACGACAAGTTCAAGCAGAAGGTGGTGAGTAACTACAACCACAGAATTTTATGGTCTCTCATCTCAGTAAATGTTGACTCATTTTTTTTGTGATTCTGAATTCAGTAATTTTCAGGGAATATTTAGTTTAAGTTTGATGAGCATATGTTTTGATTAAACACAGCAGAGGAAGAAAAAATTCCCAGAGTAGAGTATACATTTTGGAGGTATATATTTGCTGGCACTTGAAAACAGATGGTGTTTTATGATGCATGGTTACTGGAGTTCTTGAGTTCAGTTCACTGACTTAAGGTCATACAATGTCCCTGAATACACCCAGCTCTGATAGGCAAAGTAAAGATAGCTGGACATAGTGCTGACCACACCATCCCTGCAAATGCAAAAGTCAAAGAGCCAGATGAACTCTACTTCAGCTTTCCCATTGATATGAAATGGTATCTTTAAAAAAAAGCATTCAAGTATAATTTTTGCTTAGAAATAAAAAAAAATTCTATACTTTTAATACACTGTTGGCTATGAAACAAAATAATCCTATGTTAATAAAATTACAAATAATTTCTTTTATGGGTCACAGCCACAGTCCTCACCTTCACCTTTGACCTCACCAGTAGACAGTGCTGCCACCCTACTGGACCAGATGGTGTCTCTGGGAGTCCCTACAACAGATGATGGCTTCAAGTATAAATATATTTCACTGGGGGATGGAGTTTATGGTTTGTTGGAAGTTTATACCCATAGGGTATTGATAAGATTTCATTTGGCAGTAAAGAAATTTTAAAATTATTTTTAAATTTAGGAGACGTTGCTATAATTATTATAAAGAGAGTTATGATTTTGTATTTACTATTCATTGAAACCTCATCTAGTTTAACCTTGACTAAACCCCTACCACCCACCATGTATTGAGTATCAAATCTCTTGTTTAGATTTCTCTGTGAGTGGAGTTTGCGCCTGTCATGTCCTGGGTCTGAGCACCACCGCAGGTGTGACAGATTCCCTGGGAGAGGGGGAGAATGGGGCAGTTATTCTTGACCGGACGTGTTTCTACGCTGAGGCCGGGGGTCAGGATTCTGATGTAGGACAGCTGCTGTCTGAGGTTAGCTACTGCTTTAATAAAACAATTTTTTGTATAACCTCAGAAAAATTCCTCTCTATTTTTATGTATCTCTATCATCAAATTATGTTGTTTCATCCCACCTTTGAACCTCATGCCAGGTTTAACAAGAGGTTTAACACCTGCTAATCTAATCTAGACAGGCACATTTGAAGTGTCTAACGTCCAGAACAGACGAGGCTATATTGTTCACTATGGTCACATGACCAACGGCAGTTTTACCACTGGGCAAAAAGTTGAACCAAGTATCTTCCAGGTACAAAAACACATACTTAAAACTTTCTCCATAGTAATTACATTTTAGTCATATTTAAAACAAATTTATCTGGCAATGAATTAACATTTGCTGCATTGTTAATGGAAGCAACTGTGTGGCCTAAGACACTGATTGCTAAAAATATTATGTTCCCCACCAGGACACACGAGAAGGCTGCATGAGAAACCACACAGCCACACACCTCCTACAGGCTGCACTGGCCCAGGTTCTTCCCACAACACAACAGCAGGGGTCAAGTGTCATGGCTGACAAGCTGACCTTTGACTTTTTGGCACTAGTAAGTTCATCAGTTTACCTTGATCCAAAATCAAGACACTGTGTGAATTGTTCACACACATTATAAAGTGCTAACTTCAAAAATCCAGACTTGTATTGTTAGAGGCCATATTTCTTCATCAAAATGGGCTTTATATGTCCAAAAAAACAATTTATTGTTGAAACGGCTTATTTTGTTAAAAAGAGTAAATTGTGTAATTTGCTGGATGATAAATAGCTGTCTTAACATTCACCCTCAGAACATTTATTACCACAAGTAAGGGTTATTAGAAGTTGGTTTGCTGGTTTATTTTAGTAAAGTGACGGGGCATTTTTCTACTAACATTGCCACTCTCCTCTTTGAACCTGATCTAATAAATGACTATATATGGACATTTTTTCTACTGTTATTGTAACCACCCCACCCCCAACTTGAACCAAATCTGCCCTGATCTCATGATTACCTTAATCTAGACACCATTTGAGTCAAGCTTTGTTGAGCAAGTGGAGACAACTGTACAAAAGATTATCAAACAAGAGTACCCAGTCTCTAGGAGAGTGATGTCCCTTGATGAAGCTCTTCAGTTGCCAGGTTTAAAGAAGTTACCTAATGAGGTCAGTATTTCTATTGTTTGTTTTTTTTATTTGTTTTGATTTAAAATGTAATTAAAACTATAAATTTAGCAGGTTATCTAATTAAGCTCTTACCTTCAAAGATCATCATTTCCTCCCCTTTTTAAAGACTTGAATGTTTACTTTGATCTCTAGGAATATCCTGAGCTCTTCCCTACATCATTTCTTCCCCTTTTTAAAGACTTGAATGTTTACTTTGATCTCTAGGAATATCCTGAGCTCTTCCCTACATCATTTCCTCCCCTTTTTAAAGACTTGAATGTTTACTTTGATCTCTAGGAATATCCTGAGCTCTTCCCTACATCATTTCTTCCCCTTTTTAAAGACTTGAATGTTTACTTTGATCTCTAGGAATATCCTGAGCTCTTCCCTACATCATTTCCTCCCCTTTTTAAAGACTTGAATGTTTACTTTGATCTCTAGGAATATCCTGAGCTCTTCCCTACATCATTTCTTCCCCTTTTTAAAGACTTGAATGTTTACTTTGATCTCTAGGAATATCCAGAGCTCTTCCCTACATCATTTCCTCCCCTTTTTAAAGACTTGCATGTTTACTTTGATCTCTAGGAATATCCTGAGCTCTTCCCTACATCATTTCTTCCCCTTTTTAAAGACTTGAATGTTTACTTTGATCTCTAGGAATATCCTGAGCTCTTCCCTACATCATTTCTTCCCCTTTTTAAAGACTTGAATGTTTACTTTGATCTCTAGGAATATCCTGAGCTCTTCCCTACATCATTTCTTCCCCTTTTTAAAGACTTGAATGTTTACTTTGATCTCTAGGAATATCCTGAGCTCTTCCCTACATCATTTCTTCCCCTTTTTAAAGACTTGAATGTTTACTTTGATCTCTAGGAATATCCTGAGCTCTTCCCTACATCATTTCCTCCCCTTTTTAAAGACTTGAATGTTTACTTTGATCTCTAGGAATATCCTGAGCTCTTCCCTACATCATTTCCTCCCCTTTTTAAAGACTTGAATGTTTACTTTGATCTCTAGGAATATCCTGAGCTCTTCCCTACATCATTTCCTCCCCTTTTTAAAGACTTGAATGTTTACTTTGATCTTTAGGAATATCCTGAGAGTGTCTCAGTGATTTCTATTGGACCAGAGGGCTCAAGTCATGTGATCTCCGTAGAGCTTTGTGGAGGAACGTAAGTCATTTCCCTTGATGTAATTTAATATAATCTCATTGTAGTTATCATAGTCAGGTTCATTTACGCAAATATGACTTGACATGTGCTGTTACCATAGACTAATGCACATCACTTTACTCACACACGTATGTTGATTTTACCAGTGTTGGTTTTTAAGATTACCTGGATCTTGACCAATTGTTGGTCTGATTTTAAAAACTACCAGGGGACTATTTAAATGTTTAAAATTTTTGCTCTTAATATTTTGTGATTATTAATAAATTTCATAAAATTGTATCCCATATTCACAATTTTTTTCCTTTTTTTTAGCATATTTAATAATGTTAATTCTATCAGATTTAAAGTTCAATTAATTTTTTAAAAGAATGATGTTTTTTATTTTCCGTAATTTTGTTAAGTCTAAATGCCACAACCCACAAGATGTAACAAATTCAGTTGTTTTTTTTTTTAATTAAAAAAAAATTTCAGGCATGCTTGTAACACATCTGACCTAGAAAACTTTTGTATAACACATGTGTCAACCAAGTCACAGAACACCAAGAGAATCACAGCCGTCACAGGTCCAGAAGCTGAGCAGGTCAGTTACAAAATTCTTGGTGTTTTAGGATATTGGTGTTGGTTTGACTAGGTAAATTTTCTTGGTGTTTTAGGATATTGGTGTTGGTTTGACTAGGCAAATTTTCATTCTAACTTGTGCTACGAATTAAATAACATCCAACTAAGACAAAGTTATGTGTGTTTTTTTTTTCCAATATGAATTCAGTTTTTGTAAATTTAAATTTTTAAAGGCTCATGTAAATGGACAAGTTGCCAGATCAATGGCTGTTGTGCTTGCAAATCTACTAGACAAGCGTGTCATGAGTGAGATGGAATTAAAAAACCTGCAAAAAGCCATCAATAAAGTATTTCCTTATTCATTTTATTTGTATAGATCTATTCAATATCAAAATTTGCTAGCAATAATAGATTTCTTGAGTTTGACTATTTTCTAAAAAGGAGATAGAAAAAATACAGTATTTAAAATTTAGCTTGGTTGTAATGTGTTTGTTGCCTTCATTTGATGGCTAGTCAATTCTAAATTCTTTTCTTTTTTGTTTTAATTAGTAACTGTGTTAAAAATTTAGGCTGATAGCAGTGTCACTGTTTTAGTGTAGTCGTGGAATTGTTACTCTAATAACCATGCCCAATTATTTACCCTAATGACCCTAATGTCCCATTGTCCAGGCTGATCTGTGTGTGGATGCCAGACTTGAAAAACTTGAACATGGTGTGGCAGGGCCTAAACCTGAAACAAAATTCATAAAAGCTCTGGAAGACACTAAAAAGGTTTGTAAAAAGTAGATATACTTCAAGCAGATACATGTTACACTATTTCACTTGAATGTAATTTTAAAAATTTGATACAAATTACATAAATTCAAACTATAACATTACTGTCATTTTAAAATTGGATGAATTAAATCTAATTACACTATTATTTTCCAACTTATACATATGATGAAATGTACGGTTATTAATTTTATTAATTTCTTGTTTTAAAAATGTCTTACAGTTTTTATATAACAAAAAAATGTTTTTATAACAGGTGAAGGATGTGGTGGCTGGATTTCTTGACACTCTTGATCACCTGTTGAACAAAACCTGTGACCTTGAGGACAGTTTAAAAAACCTGATCACAGGACTGAAGAAGGTCAGTTCTGTTTATCTGTACACATCGGTACAAGTGGGATGGCTGGTACCAGTAAAACCAGAGTAAAACCAGAGAACACATGGAGCACAGCGATTAGTTTCTCGTTTGATATACTTAAATATTTTATCTAACTCAAAGTCACAAGTGTTGCCTCACAAGAACCTTTTGTTTTAAATGACATTAAGTGGTTATTGTTTGTTTAGTTTTATTATGCTTTGTTGATTTGAAAAAAAAAAGTTCCAAATTAGGATTTGGTTACACTATTGGTGATATGATATGAACATGTAGTAAAAGAATGTGTTGTACCCCCATGTAGTGCCACCAGCTGGAGCTGCTACCTAAATATGTCAGGGATGAGGTCCACAACTGTACAGAGAAGTTGGAGTACAGGGTGACAGATTTGAGGAACAAGAGGAGTAACAGGATGCTACATCAGGCAAGTTCATACAGCAAAATATGACAGTCATGCAAGTTTATACAGCAAAATATGTCAGTCAGGCAAATTCATACAGCAAAATATATCAGTCAGGCAAGTTTGTGCAGCAAAATCTGTTGGGGTAGTTCATACAGCAAAATCTGCCAGTCAGGCAAGTTTGTGCAGCAAAATCAAATCTGTCGGGGTAGTACATCGACTCACTGCAGCATTTAAGTTGAGCTGACAGAAATTTGTTTGTAGCTCTCGCTAGATGATAGGTTTTAGTCCTTGCCTCTCTTGTTGTGGCCAGATTTTAGTATTGAAGATGATTGTTTACATGTGTTGAACCAACAGATGATCAAGAATGGAACAGAAGTTGACCAACATGTGACCACTGTACACATTGATGAACTAGACCTCACTCCTCGGCAGGTGAGTTTTCCATCTCGGATTTTTCTAGAACCTAGATTTTGGATACATTTATTGGCTTTATTTCTATAGTAGTACAAGCACTGTGGATCAACTACCAGGACTTCTGTGTATTTTTAATTTACAAATAATTTTTTCTTAAATATTCAGATTTCCAAAAGTCTCTCCCAGCAAAACTGGGATCAATGTATTGTGTTGGTAAAAAAATCAGCCAAAATTTCTAATGTTTTCATCACCTTGCCATTGCAGAAAGTTCAAGTAAGTTGAAAATTTACATTTATTCTAGGGTTTTCTCTAGTGGTTTAAAGCAATATAAAAAGTAAACATTTGTTGTTAAAATAATTTTTTTTCTTGTATTTAAATGCTACAGCAAACATGATGAAAATATTTATCATCCATTATATTTAAGTATCTTCACTGATTAGTGTAGACATTTCATATTATGATATTATAGGGTTTGTAAGTATGTCGCCAAGTTCTCATTTTCATACATATATATTCTTGCAGTATATTTCAAACCAAATATTACTATTTTTATCAAAAAGGTAAAAAAATAAATAATTAGATAAGCTACTTCCACTATATTTACGCTATTTTAAAATCGTAAACAATGATAAGGATAGACTACAAGATGCAGGCTAGCTCCGTTTAATTGTGATTATTTTAAAAGAAGCGCACAGTTTGTCATTATTTATTAGAATACGTAAGAAGTTGTCATAAAGGTAGTTACAATATTAATATAATATTAATAGCCTGGGCATACCTATACTTAATTTGATTGTATTATTAGTAATAAATTTATAATTGCAGCATTTTGGATATTCTTGGTATTTTAATATCTTGAAGCGAGGCCTCGAAACAAATAACCACCATGTTTTTTGTTATCAATGGGAATCATGTTCACAACAATTAATTTAGTTCAAAAATGTATATCTCTCCCTGGCTAACAAGATTTCTAATTTTAATTAAGCAAGAAAGGCTTACAAGAGGTTTTCATTAAAGTTGTCTTCTTTCCGGTTTGTTTCACTATAAAAATGCTCCTACTTTTTCAGCCACCGACCCAGCAGGAAGTCAATGATCTGTTGGCAAAGCTGAGCCAGTTGGGTCCTGCAAAGGTCAAGCTGACCTCTCAGTCTAATAAAGTAGCAGTGTACAGCTGTACTGTCCAGGGGGAGGGGTCTGATGTTTCTGTGGTCAGTGATTGGGCTGGACAGTTACTCAATAAGTAATTGGGGGGGGAGGGGTCTGATGTTTCTGTGGTCAGTGATTGGGCTGGACAGTTACTCAATAAGTAATTGGGGGGGGGAGGGGTCTGATGTTTCTGTGGTTAGTGATTGGGCTGGGCAGTTACTCAATAAGTAATTGATCAACACATTTACCATGAGGGGGGTATATGTTTCTGTGGTTTTTAAATATAAGTTTAAAAAATGTACACATTTTATTAGAAATTAGTTTATTGTATAGATAATGACAATATATTTTTTTATTGTTAATTACCATGTATTGTATTCTGTTTTATAAATTGAGATTAATGCCATTTCTAAATCGTTTTAATGTTTTTATGTCTAAAGATATTTTTTTGTTCTGCATAAAAAATAAAATAAATTTAAAATTGATTTTAGTTTTTGTGAACTGTTACTTCATCTTCTTCTTCAGTCTTAATTTAGTGTTGGAAAGGATCCCCACCAGCACAATTAAGTGTTACGTGTCAACTGGTTATGCGCCATTGACTCTGATTTCAGCCTCCTTTTCTTTTTAGATTTGCTTCCATAGCCTTTGTCCAACCAAGAACAAACTACAAGGCAGCAATTGTTTGATTTTGGAGTTGTCTCTCCTAGAAGAGTGGCTGTCCCAGCTAACGAGCCTCATCTGCCCGAGGGGTCGAACTCGAGACTTTACGGTTTACCAACCATGAGCTTTATCGACTCGAACACCACGCCGACCCCTGTGAACAATCACACTACATTTCCTTTTATGATTTCTATTATTTAGCGCTATGCATAAATGCAATTTTAGGTAGCATGTTAAGCATGGATTGTCTTTTCTCGCATTTGTGACGAGTATGATTAAGACACATTTATGATGTAAGTTTGCAACTAAAAAAGAAATTCCACTATTATTATAAAATCCATTTTTATTAAAATATTTATTTTTAATGGTTATAGGTTATTATAATCAGCAATATAGCTTAAAATCTATAGGGCACAGGGGTGTTAAATGAAAGACTAAAACTTCAAACAAAAACAATTCACATATGCTTAGTCTTTCATTTTAAACTGCAGTTTGTAAATATAACTGCCTAAAACAACTAAAAAATAAATAAATCACCAAAATGGTGATAATTTGAATGATTACAATCAATATTTGGTTAATGTGACAGATGAAATTTGAGAGAGAAAAATGATTGTCACCTCACTTAAGTGCATACTTTAACCTTCAATAAAACATTTGAAAAGTAGACACTGTTATATCAAGTTGTGTCAATGTAAATAACTCTAAATCATAATAGATTAGAAAGGGTATACAATTCAAAATAATTTAAAACAGTAACATTGCATCCTTTTCTTCAACAAATTTTTAAACATTTGCCCAAATTACAGTAATATTTCATAAAATAACTTTCTCAAACATAAGTTATAAAATCATTTTTCTTCCACATCATTCACTGATTAAAATAGACAGATATTATTATTTTTTATCTATCATAGATACATTTTAATTTTAAAAAAACACAGCAAATCAATATTTTATTTGAAAAAATAATCACATTGTGCTTATTCAATTGCAGTAATTAATTTCCTTTATTAAGTTTAATTTAAAACTATGAAATTAAATGTAATATATACAATTAAGTATAAAGTAAAAGTATAGTTCCCCTTTCAAACCTGACAGTCTATAGGGCAAGTGAAGTAGAGCTAACTTGTTTTGAGGGACGGAGTGGTCTAGCGGTAGAGAGCTGGACTGCTAACCCATAAGTCTCGAGTTCGAATCCGGGTTCAAGTCAGTAGACCGTCTCTGAGTCCACCCAACTCTGATGGGTACCTAACTCACGTTACGGAAAGTAAAGGCAGCTAGGCATAGTGCTGACAACACTATCTCTTCATATGCCGAGGTCACAGAAACAAGTGAAGTATAATGTAATCTGAAATTATTATGATCTTTCCATTTATATATAAACTATTTAGTTTATAAGAAATCAAAACAATGTTGAAAGAATTTATAAACTATTTAGTTTATAATAAGCATATTACCAACCATAGAGTTTACTTATTGCAAGATCAATAAATGCAAACCTCATCCATAAAAAAAAATTACATCAATTTAATATATGCCCTTAACATTATTACAGATTAAGTATGCATAATAGGGAATAAAAAATGCAATCTATATTTTTAATTATAACATGTTTTTTTAATTGAATTAATTAGTAAGCAGTACAGGAATGTCTTCCACAAACAAAACAAGTAATTGCCATAGTCTCTCTATCAGAAGTTAGTTATCTATTGAGAAAAACTGAACAGTTTCATAGCTATCAACTCGAATCCCAAGAGTTCCATCCATAAAATGGTGCCAAGTTGCCCCTAGCAGAATGATCATGTTCCCTGGCTTTAAACAAATGCCAATTGGAACTCTCCTCATTGTGGAGGGCTGAAGGTTAGATGCACTGGTCATGTGACTAGATCCACTGGTCATGTAGGCTAGAATATCTTTATCGTGAAAGATGATGTGGGTGGCTTGACCAACCAAGTCCTGAAAATAAAAGGGATTTGGTGGTGGCTGTCTTTGTGGTAGATTTAATCTAATCTAATCTGGGCGGCTGTCTTTGTGGTAGCTTTTTTTGTGTTTTTATGTTCATGCAATATTATCTCTCAGCGTGAACATTTTTAAAGGGCTAATTATGTGTTAAACTAAACCTAGTAAATCCATCATTTAGGTTGGTATGGATTTACATCAGAGTTCTAGCCTTTGTTAAAAACTGCAGGTCATAAAAGTATAGTTAGAACAGTTTTAAATTTTTTATTCTTCAATTGGCAATCCCAAAAAAGCCTGTAGGTTTGATTTGCTGCTGTTATTGATGGTCAGGACAATGGATCAGCTAGACAGTAAGGGTAACCTCAAAGTGCAGCTAGGGTATATTTTTTTAAAAATGAGTTCAACTAAATTAGCTTCAACACTTTTTTTTTAAATGGCCAAATATCGATGTCTTATCATATACTTAGTCTTTTCTATTTTTCTAAACAAATACGTAAGTGTTCTGAGTTTCTTACCCTAACTATGACAGATGGTCTAAAAATGTGAAAGAATGGACCCACGATCTCCAGACAAATGGCAACTCTTGCTGGCACACCTGCAGTTTTGTAAAACATTTTGTTACATTTTTGGCAAAGATTTTGTTACATTTTTATTTACAAATCTGACAACAAAAATAGAAATTTGGGTAACTATTTTGAGTATTCAAAGTAATTAAACCAAAAGTCAGTTAACATTTGATATAATTTTTTATAAAACCACCAATATTTTATTGGACAGCAAATATTGAGACTTCATTGCAAAGGCAACATTTAACAGGAGCTAACAGTATAGTAACACATTCAATTTACTGCAGCATTCATCCACTAAGTCGGACAAAAATAGCTAAAGTTACACTTACCACTGTATTCATCAACTAAGTCAGACAACAATAGCTAGTTACACTTACCACTGTATTCATCAACTAAGTCAGACAACAATAGCTAGTTACACTTACCACTGTATTCATCAACTAAGTCAGACAACAATAGCTAGTTACACTTACCATTGTATTCATCCACTAAATCTGACAAAAATAGCTAGTTACACTTACCACTGTATTCATCCACTAAGTCAGACAACAATGGGCTCAACATATTCAGGCTGGGGAAGCCAATCTTCTCCATTCTCTTCAAGGTTTCCCCAGTAACGAGGGATTTGACCATCATAAACTCTGGAAGTAATTAAAACAAGATTAATTTAAATCAGGTACTTGTAGCAGTGAAAAAGCTCTAATTTGGTGATTTGATGTGTGTGTGAGGTGACTTGTGAAACTAATGGATCACATAGTGTGGGGAGCGAATTGATATAATGACTAGTGTAGATTGCTAGGGATGCCATCACTTCCCACATCCCATCTCCAGAGACAGCATGAGACAAAATTTTATATTGATGTTAGGAAGTAACAGTTGAATGAATGATCAACACAGACATGTAATATAATGACTTATCTTAATGTCAATACAATCTTAATAGTGAGCCAAAAAAAAAACCTTAGCAGCATTTAAAATTTGGATTCAATTCTTTAAGATAAAACAGGGTTCAGATATATAAAGCTTTGAGGCATAAAGCTAATAATATTAAAATTGCATGACTTTACATGTAGCCCAATAAATTACGTAAACTTACTTGTTAAATACATTTCTACATCATTGTGGTGCATCAAGCATGCCTGGCTTTCACAGAAAGAAACTTTGCATCTGGAGCAGATGACCACATTTTTATCCCCCTTGCAGAAGCAGCAGGTTAAGTCAAAAGGGAAGCTACCCTCTTCTTTTTCATCTGTTGACACTGTTATTACCCGGTTTTAAAATATGTGTTATTTCATTTTCAGGTAGAAAAATCATTTTGTAAAACAAAAACTGTTGCCCTCTGTTAGTGTAAATTTTCTCCATGATTTATAAAGTTAATGATAAACATAAATTAAAGTGACTAATGAGGTGACATTCTGTCTATAACAAAATGAAGAAAAGACCAAATAAGGTGATCCGACCTAGAGAAATAATATTCACTCACAGCAGATAATTTTATGAGCCTTGAAGTGTCGCTTCTGACAGTCTCTGTTACAGTACTTTGCTTTCTTACACTGTGAGCAGGTGAGTAAGTTGGTGCTTTCTTTTTGACAGTAGAAGCAGACGTCGGAACAGCTAGGGGAACCTCCCACTCTTTCTGCTGAGTCAGCTGTGTTTTTTGCTGTCAAAAGTCAGGACAAAAAGAATTAACATAATGACTCATATAATATGGTAATATTTCAGTTGTAAAACTGAATGGTTATGATTATTAATTATATATATTTTATTAATATTATGAACTAATTAATAATTAAGAATTTGGGTTTGTATGCAAACTAATTGTATTTGATGATTGTTCTTAAATAGACAGTTTAGTTACCAAATACAGAATAGTCAACAACTTGACAAAAACATTTACCCTGAGCCTTGTTCTTGGTTTGTGGGTTGTTGAAAGCATCACACTCAGTTCTATGATTGTCTTTGTGCTGTTGGCAGCAGCTCTCAGAGCAGTAACTACAAGTGATTTAACACACTACATATCAGTGTGACAAGTGTAACTATTGTACTTTTGATTATGAGCCATGAGACACAACTCCAATTAAACTGTCTCTCTGCATAATATTAATAGCCCTAAAGCAATTGTAAGCTCAATGGCTACACTTTTTAATCTTTTTACATGTAAGTGTTCTGACATAGAGGAAATAAACTTTAGATGTGTCTTTAATTTTGTTAACAATATGTACAGTACACTTCTACCATATGCCTTTAACACAAATTTATAAACTCCCCACTAATCTGAATAATCTATATATATAATTCTCTTCTTGGATACCCTAGAAAACACCAAGCTGTAAGCACGCCTAGCAGGCCCTCTCTTCCTCTCTAGGCATATCCCTACCACATTTTGTGGTGAATAGTAATAAAAAGTGATAAATAGAGTCACGTTGGCCATGCTTTTTAACTATTTTTGAAAGAAATTGATATATTAAAACACAAAAGTAGTATCTTTGAAGGGAAGTAGCAGGTAATAGGCTGAGGTTTGATGTCAGTTTAGAAATGGGCACTGGCTATTGGCAAAATGTGCGATAATAGAAAGAGGGGATGGAAAGTCACTTAATTAGCATGACGTCATTTATGTGTGACCTAATAACAAAAAAATGTATTTTTAGGACCTACTAACTTTACATTCTTGCACTGGTGACAAGTGATGACCTGTTTATATGTGACAACCTGTCCACACCTGCAGCACTTGCTGTAAACCCTAAACCAGTTGGTTTTATTCATCTTTTTCTCCTACAATGATGGTAAAGGAAATAGTTCTTGACTGGCTTTTTCTGTGCTCAGCTAATCAGTGTATAAATAAACCATGTCCATTGGTAGCTGTTGCTATAAATCAAGCCTTGTTTTCTCAGACAGATAAGTTAGGTGAGTATTTTTGCCTAAGAATAAAGATAATTAATTAGGCCTATAAAATTATATATTAGGGCCTAGATCTAGATAATAATACTACTAGATCTATATAATACTATATATTTACTACATAGATCTGTATATAAAATTAGAGGCCCTAAATATTAAATAAATATTAAATAAATAAATAGGCCTATTAAAATTTATTAAAAATTATTAGAATCTAATTTTGAGACATTTGAGTATTAGTATTAGTCTAGTATTAGGCCTAATTAATAGTAATTATCTATAATAATAGTTTCGCTGTCTGTGTATCTATCTATCTGACAAGAACGCTCTGGAACGCTCTAGAGAAAACATAAGCAAAAAAAGAACGCTCTAGAGAAAACATAAGCAAAAATTCTGACAAGAACGCTCTAGAGAAAACATAAGGAATTTAAAAACATGCACAGTAATTCGAAAAACGAAATATGACGTCGACACATTTAGCGTAGAGTAGAACATAATCTCAAACCAGAGAGTGCACACAGTAATGTAATGACGTCATTGATTATCGCGTAAACATTGAAAAAAAGGAAATGTTGTCTAATCTAAATGGTTTGCGTGAAGAGTTTCTTGCATACAATTCTTCGGGTAGGGGCGAAGCCCCACCCCACGCGTAAGAACGTCTGAGCCCCCCCCCCCCCCCCCTCCCCAACTCAAAAGAAATTTCTTCATCGATACTCTATAATAAAATTACCGCCTAATTAATGTGTCTAATCTAAAAAGTGGTTTTCTTGCAATTTCTTTAATGCAATTCTTCGGGTAGTGGCTAAGCGCGACACCAGTGTTTCTTTCAGACTTTTTCCTCCCCGGAGAGGGATGGGGGTAATTGAAATTTTCGGGGGCTGGGGTAGAATTTTCGGGAAGGGGGGCGGACACTGGAAAAAGTATATAATTATATTTCGTTGAATGGGACGGTAGACATGATTTTTTTGGGAGTGGGGGGTGGGGGGTAGGGGGTGGGGGTGGTGTGTGTGGGGGGGTGGGGTGGGGTGGGGGGGTTTCCTCATCGATACTCTATAATAAAATTACCGCCTAATTAATGTGTCTAATCTAAAAAGTGGTTTTCTTGCAATGTCTTTAATGCAATTCTTCGGGTAGTGGCTAAGCGCGACACCAGTGTTTCTTTCAGACCTTTTCCTCCCCGGAGAGGGGTGGGGGGTACTTGAAATTTTCGGGGGCGGGGGTAGAATTTTCGGGGAGGGGGCGGACACTGGAAAAAGTATATAATTATATTTCGTTGAATGGGACGGTAGACATGTTTTAAGGGGGGGGGGGGGGTGTGGGGGGGGGGGTGGTGTGTGTGTGGGAGGGGGGGTGGTTTTAGTTTAGACTTTTTCCTCCCCGGAGAGGGGTGGGGGGTACTTGAAATTTTCGGTGGCGGGGGTAGAATTTTCGGGGAGGGGGCGGACACTGGAAAAAGTATATAATTAAATTTCGTTGAATGGGACGGTAGACATGTTTTTTTAGGGGGGGGGGGGGGGGGGTGGGGGGTGGGGGGGTGGTGTGTGTGTGGGGGGGTGGGGGGGTGGTGTGTGTGGGGGGGGGGTGGGGTGGTTTTAGTTTAGACTTTTTCCTCCCCGGAGAGGGGTGGGGGTACTTGAAATTTTCGGTGGCGGGGGTAGAATTTTCGGGGAGGGGGCGGACACTGGAAAAAGTATATAATTATATTTCGTTGAATGGGACGGTAGACATGTTTTTTTAGGGGGGGTGGGGGTGGGGGGTGGGGGGGTGGTGTGTGTGTGGGGGGGTGGGGGGGTGGTGTGTGTGGGGGGGGGTGGGGTGGTTTTAGTTTAGACTTTTTCCTCCCCGGAGAGGGGTGGGGGGTACTTGAAATTTTCGGTGGCGGGGGTAGAATTTTCGGGGAGGGGGCGGACACTGGAAAAAGTATATAATTATATTTCGTTGAATGGGACGGTAGACATGTTTTTTTAGGGGGGGGGGTGGGGGGTGGGGGGATGGTGTGTGTGTGGGGGGGTGGGGGGGTGGTGTGTGTGTGGGGGGGGGTGGGGTGGTTTTAGTTTAGACTTTTTCCTCCCCGGAGAGGGGTGGGGGTACTTGAAATTTTCGGAGGCGGGGGTAGAATTTTCGGGGAGGGGGCGGACACTGGAAAAAGTATATAATTATATTTCGTTGAATGGGACGGTAGACATGTTTTTTTAGGGGAGGGGGGTGGGGGGTGGGGGGGTGTGTTTGGGGGGGGGGGGTGGGGGGGTGGTGTGTGTGTGGGGGGGGGGGTGGGGTGGTTTTAGTTTAGAGAAAAGAGACAGCACCATCAGCCTAGCGCCCGTTGTATCCTTCCTCAACGGGCCATTTTTCTAGTATTTTATATTAGGCCTAGGCCTATCTCATTATGATTTTGGCTTTAGATCTAGACCAGATCGACATCTAAGTCTAGATCTAGATCTAGATCTAGAGTAAGATGGGGAATAATTAATGTTGTTTCATTTTTTTAACTTTTAAACTCAAACAGACTTTCTTTGAGCTTGTATTTATTATTTAGATCTATTGTTTCTATTTTTAATGTTTGTTTCCAATTCCAGGAAACATTGTTGTGACCAGGTAAACTTTTCTTTTAAAAAGCCATTTGCATGAATAATGTGTATTCGGATAACAATGACGAAAACTATCTCTCTACATTGAACAATAAAATGATAAAACTGCATTCGATGGAATTTAATTACATTTATGAATAGGACCGTTTGAATTTTGAAATTTTTATAATTTTAAACTGAAACTAATAAGGATATTTAAAGAATGTTAATAAAATACTATTTAAAAGTGCACTTTCCTCAGACTTTTACTCAACTTTATAACAATAACTATTTTTAAAAAGAGTAGGCCCTTTCCAAATGGAAATTCGATCAATAATCGATATATTTTACTAACGTATAATAATAAGAAGTCTTCGTTGATTAAGAAAAACTATCTCTTCTGCTTATATTACACTTAGGACTAACCGAATAATAGTATTTGTAGACTACTACAAATTGGCAAATACATAATAATACATATTTATATATAGTAGGCCTAATAGATTCTAGATCTATATCTATTTTAAGCCCAAGTTTTAATTTAAAAATCGAGTTGTCCTCAGATATGTAGTATACACAGACTACCACACTAAATTCAATACTATTAAAAATTAATTCATTTCCTTGCTCAGGCCTTTTTTTTTTTAAAACGTAGAATATAGCGTAAATTATTGCACGCATTATACTAGGCCTACACAACATGGCCGCCCCCGTCTATTTATAGAAATAAACTCATTTTCCTGGTAAAAATATGTTTGCGTGTAAACAAGACTTTTTATTTTATCTAGAAATCTAGCCAGTCTACTTCTAGAATCTAGATGATTATCCAGTTTTGAAATTTTAATGCTGAGTTTTAATTGAGAAATGTTATAATGTACATAGAACAAAGGTAAGAGAATATGTTTAGGCCTAATTTTTTTTTAAATTTGTGTTTATAGACGATCTAGCGTTAGAGTCTAGTTACTCTAGTACATTTATAATTTTATATTAATTGTAATAGATCAAGTACTAGATCTAGATCTAGATCTAGTAGATAGGGCCTATAACTATAGATTACTATATTTACTCTAGATCTATATCTAGATTTCTAATACTCGGTAATGTTGTGCATTTAGGCCTAACATAACATGATTTGTGTGACTACAGTAATATAATAAAATGTACTCCTATTTTTTTGGAAATACGGATTAGTGGGCCAGTCTGTGTTATGTTATGGTATGAGTATGACTAACGAGTACGTAGGCTTTTAATATAATATAATATAATATAATATATATATATATATATAGGCCTATGTATAGTAATAGGCCTATATATATATATATATATATATATATATATATATATATATATATATATATATATATATATATATATATATATATATATATATATATGGCCTATATTTATATGTATACGCCTATGTATACGTAAATGTATACATATATATATATATATATATATATATAGTTGCCTATATATATATATTTATATATATATATATATATATATATATATATATATATATATATATATATATATATATATATATATATATATATATAATGATAGGCCCACACATGCATTTCTAGCCATCTATATCTCCATATCTAAAACCATGCATATTTTAAAGAGGCTTATTCCTTGAATATCGATCTACAGATCAATATTTCCATGGCCATGAGAGGCCCGCTCGAGGCTGGGTGTGTACACAATGAGAATGTCCAGTGTCTCGCTGGACCTTGTTGTGTACGATAGCGTGTTCGCCCAGAGGCAGGTCCAGGCCCTGCAGGGTACCTGCACATCCTGCAGGAGGGAGAGCTACACTGTCAAGAGGTGCACCAGGTGTGGCCTGGCCAGGTACTGCGACAGGGACTGCCAGAGACGGGATTACAGACGGCATAAAGGCATCTGTAGTGAGTAGCTGGCTGACCTCGTTATTTAACGAGTTGGGGGGGTGGGTTGTAATCCACAAAGTGTTGTCATTAATAGGATAATCCAAATTATAATCCTAAACATGTGACTTCTTGGTCGGGTGGTAGCGGGAACGACTTTTAACACGCAGGTCTAGAGGTCTGATCCCGGGCTCGAATCTGTAGGGTTTCGCTGAGTCAACCCAGCTCTTATGAGTACCTAACTCAAGTTAGAGAGTTAAAAGGCGTCTGGACATAGTGCTGACGTCACAAAAAGGTGAACCCTGCTTCATTTGCCCTATGGACCTCCATGTTCAAAAGGATAACTTTACCAATCCTAAAAACAGAGATCAATTTTGGGATAGTGTTATCCTAAAGTCAAAGAGTTATCGATGATCTAATTTTAACTCAAAGAGTTAAATGTGGTAACGTCACGGCATGTTCGACATTAGTTATCGTAAATGGAATACGTACTACTTTTATTTTTAAAAAATGTAATCATTATTTCCAGTGCACACAAGTTTATCAGTAGTATGATTTTGGTTCGTGTTTTGGTTCGTGCTTATCAACGCTCGTATCATTCCACGCTTAACATAAATATTTTTTAAATAAAGAGCTCTTCACATCCAAAACAACAGTGCTTTACGCCGATCGTTTTTTTTTCTATTGACGAATTCGTCGCAGAAATAATCGATTACAACGCAGACAATATAAGGGAAACTTTTTGGGGGGGGGGGGGGGTAGGCATACAGACTAGGATGCGGTTTAGGGGCTAGAGAAATAGTGTGGGTTAGGGGCTATAGAAATACTTTGTAGGTGGGTTAGGGAGCCAGACAAATGGTGTACCGGCTACATAATGTAGCGATGTAGCAGTACAGTGGGAAATATGACGTGTCATTGTGTTTAAAGTAGTGTGTAGTGTGTCCGACATGACTTGTGTTTAATATAGATGTAACTGTAAGAACTGTTATGGCCAAACAAATTGGTTGATCAACGAATGGGTTGTTGTATGTGTTGTGGGACAAGTGGTTGTATGTTGTGTGTTGTGTGGTACATGTGGTTGTATGTTATGTAACACATGTGGTTGTGTGGTCCATGTGGCTGTGTTCTGTGTTGTATAAGTGGCTGTGTTGTGTGTTGTCCACCGTGCTACACACATGTGTCCTCTGATCACAGTGACCATCTCCGACTTCGAGGCAGCCAAGAAAAGAATCGGCCCTGACCTTAGACAGGTCTTGCTGGGTCCGGCTGGTTTCACAGGGTTTAGTTTCTTCATTGGGAGTCTGCCGGACATCACTCGATGTTGGTCATATTTCTTTTTCTTAAACTTAAAGTAGAAGTATGAGATCTATGATTTGAGTAGTTGAAACACAGAAACACAGGCACATAGGCCTACACGCTAGCAAGCACACACTTTCTTGTATATACAGTCTCATATATATAATGTAATACAAGTACTTTCTTCTACACATACACATGAAAGACTCAGATTTATTGTAGTCACACACATACCTCCACACACATACCTGAGAGTCCCGCTCGAGGCAGGGTGTGTACACAATGAGAATGTCCAGTGTCTCGCTGGACCTTGTTGTGTACGATAGCGTGTTCGCCCAGAGGCAGGTCCAGGCCCTGCGGGGTACCTGCACATCCTGCAGGAGGGAGAGCTACACTGTCAAGCGGTGCACCAGGTGTGGCCTGGCCAGGTACTGCGACAGGGAGTGCCAGAGACGGGATTACAGACGGCATAAAGGCATCTGTAGTGAGTAGCTGGCTCACCTCGTTATTTAACGTGTTGGGGGGGGGGGTGTGTAATCCCCAAAGAGTTATCATTAATGGGATAATCCAAATTATAATTCTAAACACGTGACTTCTTGGTCGGGTGGTAGCGGGAACGACTTTTAACACGCAGGTCTAGAGGTCTGATCCCGGGCTCGAATCTGTAGGGTTTCGCTGAGTCAACCCAGCTCTTATGAGTACCTAACTCAAGTTAGAGAGTTTAAAGGCGGCTGGTCATGGTGCTGACGTCACAAAAAGGTGAACCCTGCTTCATTTGCCCTATGGACCTCCATGTTCAAAAGGATAACTTTACCAATCCTAAAAACAGAGATCAATATTGGGATAGTGTTATCCTAAAGTCAAAGAGTTATCGATGATCTAATTTTAACTCAAAGAGTTAAATGTGGTAACGTCACGGCATGTTTGACATTAGTTATCGTAAATGGGATACACACTACTTTTATTTTTTTTTAAAATGTAATCATTATTTCCAGTGCACACAAGTTTATCAGTAGTATGATTTTGGTTCGTGTTTTGGTTTGTGCTTATCAACGCACGTATCATTCCACGCATAACATTAATATTTTTTTAATAAAGGGCTCTTCACATACAAAACAACAGTGCCGATCGACTTTTTTTTTCTATTGACGAATTCGTCGCAGAAATAATCGATTACAACGCAGACAATATAAGGGAAACTTTTTTTTTGGGGGGGGGGGGGGGGGGGGGGAAGGCACACAGACTAGGATGCGGTTTAGGGGCTAGAGAAATAGTGTGTGGGCCATACAAATGATGTACCGGCTACATAATGTAGCGATGTAGTTGTACAGTGGGACTAACGTGTCATTGTGTTTGAAGTAGTGTGTCCGTTATGACTTGTATTTAACATAGATGTAACTGTAAGAACTGTGTTATGGCCAAACAAATTGGTTGACCATCGAATGGTTCATTGTATATTTTGTGGGACAAGTGGTTGTATGTTGTGTGGTACATGTGGTTGTATGTTGTGTGGTACTTGTGGTTGTGTGACGTACGTGGTTGTATGTTATGTGGCACATGTGGTGGTATGTTATGTGGCACTTGTGGTTGTGTGTTGTGTTGTCCACCGCGCTATACACACGTCTCCTCTGATCACAGTGACCATCTCCGATTTCGAGGCAGCCAAGAAGAGAATCGGCCCTGACCTTAGACAGGTCTTGCTGGGTCCGGCTGGTTTCACAGGGTTTAGTTTCTTCATTGGGAGTCTGCCGGACATCACTCGATGTTGGTCACATTTCTTTTTCTTAAACTTAAAGTAGAAGTATGAGATCTATGAATGGACATTGTTGGCACACAGAAACATAGGCCTGCACGTTAGCAGGCACACGCTTTCTTGTATACACAGCCTCATACATATAATGTCATACAATTAATATCTTCTACACATACACACGAAAGACTCAGATTTATTTTAGTCACACTCATACCTCCAGCCCACACTCATACCTAAACACATACCTTCACATACATACTCGCCAATCCTCATACTCGCACCGACACAACACTTATACCTAAATATGTACCTTACATACCTACCCATACGTTGACCCATACCATGTTCCCCAGTGAGTATTGTGTAACCCCTCCCACCTGTTTAACCCTCCCACCTGTTTAACCCTCCCACCTGTTTAACCCTCCCACCTGTTTAACCCTCCCACCTGTTTAACCCCTCCCACCTGTTTAACCCATCCCACCTTTTTAACCTTCCCACCTGTGTAACCCCTCCCTCCTGTTTAACTCCTCCCACCAGTGTAACCCCTCCCACCTGTCTCCTCCCCAGTCAACCTGATTGGTCAGAGAGTGGGTGTTATTGTCCAGATTGTTCGGGTCCTTGAGATGGACAACCCGCTCCGTCAGGTGGTTGTCGTTCGTGTAAGTAACGTCTCCACCTTGCCTACATCCAACTCTATCACATACAACTTTCTGACATACAACGTGTCTAACTTTCTTGTATCCAACTTCCTTATGGTGATGCATGTAAGCTACATAGGTAAACGGCCTGCTGAGTTGTGTCATACATGATATGATCAAGTGTTGCACCAATTAATCTCAAACTATCCCCGGCGTAACCAAGTGTTTAGGGGGGGGGGGATCCATTAACAGTAACGTGTCATACTTAGTTCAAACATACTTCTCACAACGCAATTTACTCATCTTTATTTAGGCTAATGTTAGTTTTTAACAATTATCTTCCTAAAACTTTAGTTATAACTAAGTAGGCCAACGACTTTTTATTTTGAAAATGTAAATGATTTCTTAAAAACATATGTCCAAGAAAAAAAACAAAGTATTGTAAAGTGTTGTAATATTTGAAATTTGAGAGTGCTTAAACAAATCTTGTGTGGTGTTCCAGGACGTAACGAACCAGACGACAGTTCTAGAATTCGCCCTGGATGACATGTTGCAGAAGTTAGCCAACTGCTTCTTCCTCCACCCTCGTCAGTTCATCCTCCTGCTGCACGCGCCACTGAGGGTTTACTCGTGGGAGGACAAAATTTCGGAGGTCGTCATCAGGAACATGAACCAAGCTAAATTCATTGTTTAGGTCAAACTTTCGGAGTTGCTGCCCCTTGTTTCTTCTCACAAACTGGAGAAAGTGTAGGATGTAGGCGAGTGATTAGTCTCAATACATTTGCAGTTCTGGTAAAAGAGAAGTGATGAAAAAAAAACTGGGGAGTGGGGGGTGGAGTTAATAATCTGTTAGTTATTTTTTGCATGTTTTTTAGGCAACAAAAAAAGAACAAACAAATGAATATACTATTTACTTTATTTAAAAATTGATGTGAATTTTAAATGTAGTCTCTATTTATAGTGTAAATGTTTGTAGGCTATTTCATTGACAGCAAACATACGACTGTTTGCATGGCTGATATTTTAAATGTGTCTGTGTCTAAATGACCGACACTATGTCCAAATGACCGACACAATTAATGCATAATGACCTTATAACTGAAATTATTACTGAATGTATCAATCAATTAATAATCAATCTATTGCGGGCAGTTCAAATACAAGTTTAAAAACCCATTACAATAGAACCTCGGTGGATTCGTGTTTAAACTCCCAGCTTCCATTGTATTGTTTAGTTACCGTTTTTTTTTTACCTTCTTAGCTTATTTTGTCACGATATTGCGTCTTGTATCAAGATGTTATATTTTTATTTGTTTACACACTGACAGAAGTAAGGGAGTCTGTAACTTACACATAGGGCGTCCATGTCAAGTACCATTTACACGGATTGTCTTTGTGTGAATGGTATTTGCCGTCCTGTGTGAATGGGGTTTCACATGCACGTCCTGTGTGAATGGTATATGGTATTTGACGTCCTATATGTGTAAGGCATTTTGTTTTGACGTCCTATGTGTGAATGGTATTTGACGTCCTATGTGAGAACGGTATTTGATATGGACGTCCTATGGCTGTATGGTATTTGACGTCCTATGGCTGTATGGTATTTGACGTCCTATGTGTGTAAGGTATTTGTTTTGACGTCCTATATGGTTGCAAGTGTGAGCACTCTAATAGCATGCAATTTGTGTTGCGAGAAAGACATTCCATAATGTCACAATTCCATTGTTTATTTAGACCTTGTTCTCATTGTGTCGCCACTATGTTTGACCTACTGACTACAACTGGCACTTGTTGAACTGTAGATGCAACAATAAACTTTCGTCAAATGAGAGCTAAACAAGCTTTCACTGTATGCATTGATTTTAATTATTGTTAATAAAATGTTGAAATAAAACAAATGCTCGTTTCATTCTATAAAGGGAAGTATTAAGGTAAAATGCTATTTTTATTTAAAATGTTATCATTACATTTGTAATGTGTTGCCTTTTTCTTTGTGTGTTTGTGACTATGCATGTTTCACAATATAGGGTTAGGTCGTTTTTATCTACGCAAATATTTGTAAAAGGTTGGACTTCTTAAAACTTATTTGTTTTGGCGCGAACTTGGTCCAAATCGACTGCGATCTTGTCATGTAGGTTATAGTAGATTAGAATCACACCCGCATTAATACATATTGAAACAATTAGTATCAATCCTACTCCCTAACAACATTTCGCTTGTATCAACTGTTTTCGTAAATGTAAGTATATAAATATAATTATTAGTTTCAATAAAATTAAAATGGTTAAAATGTTTTTTCTAGATAATAAGAAATCCTTCTATGCATGCAATGGTTCAATAGTTTAAATTTGTTCTCTGGTCTAAAACGAAAGTGCCAGTTCATCAAAAGTTTGAGTTTCCACGAATCGACAAAACTAGGCCCTGATAACGTCTGAGTTAGTGAGTATCGATCTCCAATCAATATTGATGGAAAATAATCTGGTACCGTGATTGATCAATTCAAGCCTTGCTGCCTTAGCTGTGAAAATTCCTCAGAAAATACCTTGTCTTGTTTAAAAATAGAAAATAACTTTCCTTAAAACGGTAGGCCTACCTGTTGGTCTAGTTTGTATTCGAAAGTATTCGTACTTTCTAGAATACCAAACGCAATCATTTAGATAAGATGCAATTCATTGAAACGTAAGTAAATTAAAAAAAAAAAACTTGAATATTGAAACTGAAAACGAATTCGTATTTCACATATTAACATAGGTTATATTGGAATGGGTTGTCGCAGCAATATTGTATCAGTACCAAAACGCCCACATAAATCAGTGGACATTTTTCTTTAACGTCATATACATTAGTCAGAGCTGCATTTGGAGCTTACAAGACACGTCAAACTAAATTCTCGAAGGTAAGTCCTAGAAGTTTTCTGTTTCAATTTTTGCTTATAGTGAATTAATTTGGCTTTTGAAGTCAACTAACACAATAATGAAGACAATCTATTACAGTTTCGAAATGTAGGCTAATTATTTACAATATTTAATATTTGTTTTTAGTTGTCTTCAGTAGACAGTTATAATTCTGAGTCAGCAGTTCATTATAACGAAATACATTTTATGATTTTCTGTATGTATGTATATATATATATATATATATATATATCTTTAGATAAAAAAGGAGAAAAAAAAGACTTTAAACAAACATGGACACAAAACTTCTGAATGTTAATGAGGATGGATATGACGGTCAGCTACATGCTACTGAACAAAACGTCAACATCGTAGATAAGAAAGTTGACGAGGAACTTAAAGCAGGTGATAAGAAAGCAGACGAAGACCTAACGGCAGAAGAAGAGAAAGTTGGCAAGGATCTTGCGACTGCAAATAAGAAAGCTGGCGAAGACCTAATGGCAGGAGATAAGAAAGTTGACAAGGACCTTCAGTTACGAGATAAGAAAGTTGACGAAGACCTTCAGTTAGGTGATAAGAAAGTTGACGAAGACCTTCAGCTAGGTGATAAGAAAGTCGACCAAGACCTTCAGTTAGGTGATAAGAAAGTTGACGAAGACCTTCAGTTAGGTGATAAGAAAGTCGACCAAGACCTTCAGCTAGGTGATAAGAAAGTCGACCAAGACCTTCAGTTAGGTGATAAGAAAGTTGACGAAGACCTTCAGTTAGGTGATAAGAAAGTTGACGAAGACCTTACCGCAGCAGAAGAGAAAGTTGACGAGGCTCATGGATCTGGGCCAAACGCCAGCAAATCTTCAGAGACGAGAGTCACGGCTAAGAAAGTCAATACCTGCAGCGCTTGTCTGAGGTCAGGGGTCAACTTGTCGCGCTGCTCCCAGTGTAAATGTGTCTACTACTGTAACGTCTCCTGCCAGAGACAAGACTTCAATCTCCACAAACTAGGCTGCAGTGAGTATACTAGCATTTCACCTTTTGGAAAAAATATGGTCACACATGTTTTCCCCATCTATTTGCAGTCTTTCAAACTTTTTCTAATTTATTACTTTTTTTACACTTATTTCTACCATAATTTTTGCCTATCAATTTATTTCACTCTATTAGACTAGGCATGCTGCCCAGCTTCGCTTAGGCTTTCGAAAACATTGAGAATTTGAATGCTTAATTAATTCGCCCGAGGGTCGGTCTACGACCTCAAGAGTTATGAAGAGGTTCCTCCGTGGACATTTTTTTTCGATTTATAGCTCATATAAGGTACCGGTCAGTCGAGGTCAGTTTTCACCCCCTCATCGTAGACTTTTCGGCCAACCGTGTTCTGTCGCCCCAAGGCAAGATCCTGCCAAATTTGAAGCGCCTGCGGCGCCGGGAAGTGCTCTATCGGACACCCGACAATCTAGATCTAGATCTAGATCTAGATTCCTAAAAGAATTTTTTTTTAAGTTTAGCCCGAGCATAATAAAAAAAAAATACATTAACTTCATTAACCAAGTTGACTTGGTGTGTCTCGAACCCGCACCACCTGCATGGTTTAATGTACACTAACATCTTCGCTATTTAGGCACCTTATAAAATACGGAGAATGAAACACGTATTTTAAAATCTTAACTTACGCGAATACGCCTATTCTTTCAAATTAATTTTTTTATCCCAAATTAGCCAGTTCCAAACAAAGATTTTGTATAAAATAAATAAGTCTTGAAATAGTTTAGTCCTAATATAGAAATTTATTTTTGGAATTGATTTTAGAGAAGTTAGAGTCTAAATCTAGATCTTACGTCTAGATCTAGTTATTGCGTAGATTTAGATTTAGATTTAGTCTAGATCTAGAATCTCTAGATCTAGAATCCAAATACATAAAATAAATTTGAGTTTAGGCCGGAAAAATTGTATTGTATACATTTCATAGTGTACGTAGATCTAAATCAAATTTGAATGAAATAGTTCATTTCTTTTCATTCTAAACACGGCAGATGACGTCATTAGTTAATGTATAAGCAATAGTGACGTCACAGTTTTATGCGTTCTTTTTCACATATATTAATGCTTTTCCGGTTGCATAAATAATACTGTTTCTCTACATTCGAATACGCCTTTAATTTTTATTTTTCTTCTTTAACTAAAATTGTGGTTATACATTTAAAACATCAAACATATTATTTTCAACAAAAGTCCGTAAAAAGTTCTTCATATATCGCTGCCGATTCTGACGTGATGTCCGGCGAAAATATTTTGCGGACAGACAGAGAGAGAGAGAGAGATGTGCGAACGTGGGGATTTATATATTAGGAATATACACTTATGTCTTAAACAAGGTAATTAAAAAGTCTAGTGACAATTTTAGCGCAATTTCCTTATGTTATCTAAAAATAGCTCTGTCGTAGCGTAAATCAAGAGCAGGGTTAGTAAAACCATTGGTTAGTTATTAAAACGTTTTTTATTAATTTTTTTCAGTATTTTACATGTAATATTAACAATAGAGTTACATGACTAAAAACCATTGCGCGCCTACTGAACGTGATGGCGCAGCCATGGAACGCGATGGCGCAGCTATTGAACGTGATGACGCGTGTGGTGTGGTTGGAAAAAATGCCTACTAATTCGGTCCAAATATTAATTCAAAATTTTTTTTGTGACCGAACGAAAGGATATTTTTGAAAACTTTCTTCGGCAATATTGTTCTAAATTATGGCAGGAATCGATTGGTGCATGTTTCAAGTCGCTTAGTGGTCTGGTTGCCGAGATATGGGCCAAAAACTGCATTTTTCCGAGGTTTTTTGGCTTTTCCGGGAAATCCATGAAAGAAACCCGTAATTTTTATGGCCTATGTTCATCCTCGTAACTTGCTTAACATAATTGCTTTTGGAACTAGTCATCGATATTGCTTCGTTGAGGAGGAGATACGACTTAAAGCCCGGACACACATTCATCCATACATTCATACATTCATCCATTCATTCATCCATCCATTCCCAGAAAAGACGAGTTAATAAACGCAATTCTCCAGAATGGAAATTGCGCTAAAAAATTGTAATGATTTTTATGCTTGATGTATTTATTTTGTTGTTTTAAGAAGCCGCGCCTAAATTCTACGCCGCCCGAGCGAAAATCAACCCAGCCATATTGTACGCAGCGAATCTAGGAGCCATGGGCGTCAGGCCAATATCCCACTTTTTACGTAACATGCCGACTGAACAAGAGTGTAAGTTAGCAGAGGTGGCTCCACTATGTGGGCCATCAAGCATCCATATTTATTTTATATATAGGCCAGAAGTCAGTCACGTTAATTTTACAGGTAGGCCAGCCAGGGGCGTACCACATTTATATTATGGCTAGGCCCAGAGACCAACCATATTTATTGTATTGCTAGCTCAGTAAGTTATTTTGTCCCATTGTTTAAGTTAACCAACCGAATCCAGAACTTTCCATGGCAATAATAGTTCCGGCGAGATGGAAAGTGTATGTATATATATATATATATATATATATATATATATATATATATATATATATATCTTTTGCTATTCAGATCGGCGAATTGGGTCAAGATATTCAATATTTGTAGAGATTACCGGCCTGTACTTCCATCCCCTTAGACAGGCAATCACTGTAGAGGTAAGTTTAGACAATCACTGTAGAGGTAAGTTTAGACAATCACTGTAGAGGTGAGTTTAGACAATCACTGTAGAGGTAAGTTTAGACAATCACTGTAGAGGTGAGTTTAGACAATCACCGTAGAGGTGAGTTTAGACAATCACCGTAGAGGTGAGTTTAGACAATCACCGTAGAGGTGAGTTTAGACAATCACCGTAGAGGTGAGTTTAGACAATCACCGTAGAGGTGAGTTTAGACAATCACCGTAGAGGTGAGTTTAGACAATCACTGTAGAGGTAAGTTTAGACAATCACTGTAGAGGTAAGTTTAGACAATCACTGTAGAGGTAAGTTCAGACAATCACTGTAGAGGTAAGTTTAGACAATCACTGTAAGTTCAGACAATCACTGTAGAGGTAAGTTCAGACAATCACTGTAAGTTCAGACAATCACTGTAGAGGTAAGTTCGGACAATCACTGTAAGTTCAGACAATCACTGTAGAGGTAAGTTTAGACAATCACTGTAGAGGTAAGTTTAGACAATCACTGTAGAAGTAAGTTTAGACAATCACTGTAGAGGTAAGTTTAGACAATCACTGAAAGTTTAGACAATCACTGTAGAAGTAAGTTTAGACAATCACTGAAAGTTCAGACAATCACTGTAGAAGTAAGTTCATGTAAAGTCAGTTTTATGGCTAAAGCAGTTTCTTTTTACTTTTAAAAATCCACGCAGTTAGTCCTAAATTAAACAGCCAAAGAGAACGAGTGAAATATCCACATCGTCAACTAAATTATATCAGGCAACTCAGCTTTAAGTACCAATAGTTATTTCAAACTAAATTATATCAGGCAACTCAACTTTTCCCCCTAGGATCAAGAAGGGGTCAGCACCCACCTCATCTTCTACACAGACTCGGACATAGTGTACCACCAGGACATGGTCGTCACACCCCTCTCCTTGAAGGTCTGCAACCAGCCTGGGTACTTCCTGCTCCTGTGGGACGCCTGCTGGCATGACTTCCTGGATGGGAAGCGAGGCATTCGCATCGATTCGCTGGAGAAAGTTACCTACGTTTTTACAGAAGGCATCAACTCGTTTGCCTTCTTTGTCTAAACTTGTTAACTTTTCAATACTTATAACATGTAGTAGTGTTAACTTTTCAATACTTATAACATGTAGTTGTGTTAACTTTTCAATACTTATAACATGTAGTAGTGTTGACTTTTCAATACTTATAACATGTAGTAGTGTTAACTTTTCAATACTTATAACATGTAGTAGTATTCTATTATAAAAATAAAATATTACAACTTTCAAATTAAAGTTTAAAAAGTAACAATTATTTGGGAAAATAAATGCAGACTTTGTGGTATCTGTCTCTTAATGGTCGTCCATTAACGTCACATTCCCTGGATGAAGCTAGTCGGGTAAACCTCGAAAGTTCCATTAAATATTTTAAAATGCTATTAAAATAATTGTTTTATAATTGGCTGTGTGATTTCTCTCGGACTTTACAAAATATCGAACGTAATTTGTGCTTTTTGTATTTTCGGTAATAAAGAAATTTTTTTTAAAACTATTGTTTTTTTCTTAATATGTTATTGGAAATGTAAAAAAAAAATTAAGTTACAAGTAAGTGCGGTCTTTAAAAGTACAACTTTATTAGAAACATGTACCGACAATGTTTTGAGTACGAATTACTACAATAATATATAGGATCACGGTGTTTCTATACAACCTATTCAACGTTTTCTCTGACTAAATTAAAAATTCAAGTTTTCTGACTTTTTTCTCGGGGTGGGGGGGGGGGGGGAGGGACTAAATTTTTCGTGGGGTGGGGGACACTGGTAAAATTCTAAATTTTCTATAAAAATTTCATTTCGTTCGGGAGGGAGGGAAGGGGGTAGTTTTTTTTGCGGAGGGGGGGGGGGGTGATGGAGCCGCCCCGAACAGATGCCTGGAAGAAACTCTGCTCACTATGAGGTGGGTGGGAAAGAGGAGTAAAAATAGAAGTGTGTCGCCATTTATGTACCCTTAAAGCGTTTGCGCTATTTTGTTCTTTTAGAAAAATACAGTATGTAATCTAAGTACAGATCTAATTAAAGGAATGTAATATTTTACGAGAATGAGAAGAATAAACTAGATCTACTACCCCTTGTGTTACAGAAATCAGACATCACGATTGACAATAAGGCTGGCAGTAATAAGGCCTATTTGGTGGGTTATGCATAATCATCCTGTGTTTATTCAATTTCACTAGTGTGAGATAATTACTTTTAAAAAACCCACATACATTGGGAAGTTTGTAATTATTTAATATTTTGTTAACTTTAAAAGAAAAATACTGTTGTTAATAGTTTAAAAATTAAAATCATATTGCTTATAGCTAATTGTGTTTAGATTAGTAGTGTACCCAATAAGCCAGGCTAATTATATGACTTAATTCAATTCGAAAATTCCAGAATTTTCTTGGTCTGTTCCCCCCTCCCTTTATTGTTTGCTCTTCTTGTGATGTTGGCTTCTGCCCCCCCCCCCCACCCCCTGGTGTGACCAACCCATCCCCCTCCTGCGGGGGTTGTTATCTTCGTCTCTGGGTGGCTGTCTCATGCCATAGATGGGCACCGGACAATTTTTTTTCTGGCCATCTTATTTTCAAGATGTTCTGGTGCATTTGTTAGAAGTCCTATAGGTTTGTATCCTACTGTCTATTACTTTAAGTTTATATTACTTATAAAACAAAATTACTAGCCATGAATAAATAACTATAACAACTTTGTTTAGCTATGCGAGTGGTAGGCTATTTTGGTAGGACGTTATCGGAGTCGATATGTTAAGTGGAGGGGGGGGGATGAAACAGGGTTTGGATGTGCATGGTGAGTGGTTTATGTGGCGTCGCTCGCGCAACTTGTCTCACGTGTGTAACTTACTATAAATTAAGCTAATAACAGTAGATAGATCAAAAACATTTTTTTTTTTTTAATTTAAGTATTTAACTTCTGATTTAAAAAAAAGACTAACACAACAATATGAAAATCCGTACAATTATTTATAGACTGTAGATAAACCCATTGGCCTATCAATAAACTAGATTAGAAACGGAAATTCCCGACAAATGTGCTGTTCGGTTTATTCTATTATTATTTATTCTGCCTATTTCAGGCGTTTCAAAATCTGCTAGGTGCTTTATATGTGACAGGTTAGTTTCGGTTAACGCAAACACTTTAAAAGACGTTAGGTACATTTTGAATGTATTAATACAAGTTTTGAGCAAGAAAAATACTGTTCTACGTAATTGAACTGCTAGTTTTATCAAATCAAGTCGTATTATTCAGCAATCGAGTATTCGAGAAAAAAAATTGAACGCTACTTTACTGGATTATCGCAACACGACTTGGGTATTTAGTTAAACAGTTCTACTCTTTTGTTGGTAAGTTTTACACCATTATTCATACTTGCGCTTGACAAAATAGGTACGCATACCTAGAACTTTGTATTTAGTAATTGTTTATGTTACAAAGCATGATAAACTTAAATTATAAGATATATATGTAAGATGCTATGTTGAGGAAATCGAATGAAATAAAATATGTAGAAACTTATCATGATAAACTTGTGTGTGTAGATGAGTGAGAAAGTGTGTTTTTGTGTGCGGATGCAGTATTTATCTGTGTGTGGTTATTAGTGTGTGAAATTAGTATACGTGTGTACATGTATGTGATTACGTATGTCTGAATGTTGCGGGTTTGTGTGTGAATATGTATGTAATATACGTGAGTGTAAGTGTATGTTTTAGTGTGTATATAGTGGTGTTTGCGCGCAGAGTTTCTTCCAGTCATCTCTTCGGGGAGCCCCCCTCCCCCCGTAGAAAGTCTACCGCCCCCCCTCCCCCGAACGAAATGGAATTTATAAGAAAATATTTAGTTTTAACATTGTCCGACCCCTGAAGTTTTAGTCCGCCCCCCCCCCTCAAAATTCGAAATTTTCAAGTGCCCCCCCCCCCCCCACGGAGAAAAAAGTCAGGAAGAAACACTGTTTGTGCGTGTGTTTTAATCTAATAATAAAATCTTATTATCTTCAATGAGTCAGGTTGGTGTTGTATTTGAAGCTACAGAATCAAGTATTTAGTAGCTGGCCTAAGACACGTTGGTGAGCTAAAGTGTTCAGAGCGAGAATGCCCACAGAAAAACCAACCAATCAGGATGCGGGGTCATCTATAAATAACCTGTACGGTCACCCACTTCTGGAACCGGAAGGTCTGAAAATGCTGAAAGAGAAATGTTCTTTCTGTCAGGCGGACAGTGGTCAGCTGAAGAAGTGCACGCGGTGCACATTGGTGCACTACTGCAACCAGACGTGTCAGGCGTCGGATTTTGGGCGGCACAAGGACATGTGTGGTAAGATAGCAACACTCTCCCTGTTAATGTTGTCTAATCTGTTAAGTCAGCACTCATTTTGTGGACGTAGTCTAGTCGCTGTAGTAGACCTACAGGTTATCATGTAGGTATATAAATTACAAAATTCTGGCTGCTGCGAAACTTTTTACTCAGAAAACGTGTACATGTTTTTATGTTTAGTTAACAGTTGGACTAAAAACATCTACATGCTGAAGTTGTCGAGCTATATTATTTATTTTTCTAAACCCTATACATTTTCAACGATTATTCTTTAAGCTATTTAAAATTGTATTTAAGTAAATATATTGATGTAATCTAGATTGTATGCTATATATATATATATATATATATATATATATATATATATATATATATATATATATATATATATATATATATATATATATATATATATATATATATATATATATACTATTTTAACAGAGCGCATATCCCAGTTTTTGACAGCTAGACAACGGGTCAGCCAAATTTTGCAGCCTATGATGTTCAGCTTTCCTGGAGGGGTCAGTTTTTTCATCGCAAGCATACCTGACACAATACGAGGTAATACCTGACACAATACGAGGTAATACATGACACAATACGAGGTAATACCTGACACAATACGAGGTAATACCTGACACAATACGAGGTAATACCTGACACAATACGAGCTAATACCTGACACAATACGAGGTAATACATGACACAATACGAGGTAATACCTGACACAATACGAGGTAATACCTGACACAATACGAGCTAATACCTGACACAATACGAGGTAATACCTGACACAATACGAGGTAATACCTGACACAATACGAGCTAATACCTGACACAATACGAGGTAATACATGACACAATACGAGGTAATACCTGACACAATACGAGGTAATACCTGACACAATACGAGGTAATACCTGACACAATACGAGCTAATACCTGACACAATACGAGGTAATACATGACACAATACGAGGTAATACCTGACACAGTACGAGGTAATACCTGACACAATACGAGGCAAGTCACTTACCAAACCACCGAAAATGTACCTTAAACATCCAGATAGGGATCTAGGACCAGAGGCGTATCGACCCTTCCCGGCGCCCGGGGACAAACTTTTCGATTTGCACCCCCCCTCTCGAGATTTCGATTTGCAACCCCCCTCAAACTTTCGATTTGCACCGCCCCCCCCCCCCCCCTCGAGATTTCGATTTGCACCCCCCCCCCCTTAAACTTTCGATTTGCACCCCCCTCAACCTTTCAATTTATTTTTCCAACCCATTTTGGCGCCCCCTAAGGTCGGCGCCCGGGGACATATGTCCCCCCCCCCCCGGCCCCCCCCCCCCCCTCGCTACGCTACTGTCTAGGACATCAGTTTGTCAGTTACCCATCTGAACAACCAGCAATCGTTCACCAATAACCCAATAGCCTTCATGATTCAGCTACTGAGAACAGTTAATTAAAATACTTCGTAATTTGTAGATAAAATACTAGATCTGAAGATATTCTCTACAAAACGAATAAATTAAAATTAAACGGTAGTTAAATGTGTTCTAATGTCGTTGAAGTACTAAACTATCCATTCTCTTCTGCAGCTCGTATTCTAGGTCAAAGGTCACCTGTATTAGTTCAGGTGACAGAGATCTCCATGGAAATCTGGACCAAGTCCTTGACCTTCACCGTACGGGTAGGTCGCAGTTTGTCCATCATTTAAACACATCTTTAGTTGGGTTTAATGACATGCACACTGTTTTTAAATTATTTTAGAACGGTTTTGTATTTCCATTTTATAAGTTAAGAAATAAACTACTTGCTTCAGTAATAGAATTGTGATTCTGTTCCACAGGACGTAACAAATTACACGGCAACCATTTTCTTCAGACTGGAAGACCGGGATCAGCAGCAGGCCCTGAGGTATCGTCTGCTGAAGGACGCCTTTATGTTGATCCTTAAGGCTGCCATGGTGATGACCTCAGACAAGACGTGTCAGGTCACAATTAGTGACCTCAGGCAGGTCATGTTTCTGGGGCTCAACACGTGAAACGTCACGTCATCGGTCACGGCATTTGTTACGTCATATGTGAACTGTGACGTCATCTGTGACGTCGGTTGTGAAGTGTGATGTCATTTGTGAACTATGGCGTCATCTGTGAACTGTAGTGGCATCTGTGACGTTTTGTAGCTAGTATGGAAGTGAGACTGTGCTACAATGTAGCTAGTATGCTAGTGAGTCTGCTACAGTGTAGCTAGTATAGAAGTGAGACTGCTACAATGTAGCTAGTATAGAAGTGAGACTGCTGCAATGTAGCTAGTATGGAAGTGAGAATACTACAATGTAGCTAGCATGGAAGTGAGTCTGCTACAATGTAGCTAGTATGGAAGTGAGAATACTACAATGTAGCTAGTATAGAAGTGAGACTGCTACAATGTAGCTAGTATAGAAGTGAGACTGCTACAATGTAGCTAGTATAGAAGTGAGACTGCTACAATGTAGCTAGCATGGAAGTGAGAATACTACAATGTAGCTAGTATAGAAGTGAGACTGCTACAATGTAGCTAGTATAGAAGTGAGACTGCTACAATGTAGCTAGTATGCTAGTGAGTCTGCTACAGTGTAGCTAGTATAGAAGTGAGACTGCTACAATGTAGCTAGTATGGAAGTGAGACTGCTGCAATGTAGCTAGTATGCTCGTGAGTCTGCTACAGTGTAGCTAGTATAGAAGTGAGACTGCTACAATGTAGCTAGTATGGAAGTGAGACTGCTACAATGTAGCTAGTATGCTAGTGAGACTAATTATTTTTAGTGTATATCTGCAGTTATGACTATATGAACTATATGCTTATACGCCGACGTATTTGTTTTGTTCAATATAACGTTATGTGAAATGTACCTATTTATCAACAATTCAGCAATGTTCAGTTCATACCAATGAAATAAATTTGGAAATGTAAAAATCGACTGTTTTTTTCTTTATTATTTTCATATAAAAATAGTACTATACCATCTATAAATAATCCATTGTTGAAGGTTGACCGTCGTGGAATAAATTATGGCCCTTGTGTTGAAGGATATCAGGTAGATTTTTTCTACGTGAGGCCCTATATCGCTGTGTAGAGTGATCTTGTTTATCATGGGGTAGGGGACTTAATCAGCTTCAGGCAAGAGAGGGGATTGTGTGGTCAGTCGTGGTTTACTTTCTCCTACCCTATCATGGCTGGGTGGACAATCGGGCATGGGGGGAGGGGGTTCTACTATCACCATGACTAACGCCTGATTGTGGGGGCGGGTTGGTAGAGATGGAGTCAGCACGTTTTCTCGTGTGTGGTCAACGTGAACTGTGCTGTTGACGTCACGAGTGACACGCACGAGCTGATTGTGCGGTGTGTTGTGTCCTGAGTTTAGTTCACTCCACACCGTGACTGTAAACAACATCTACCACTCAACGTATCGGCAGGTCGGAGCGTGTCGAGACTTTAGCTGGCTGTTTGCTCTACCGGAGTCAAATTTAAGGTGCAGTTACAGAATTATTCTACATTTTAGTTTCCACGGCTTTTTTTTTAAATAGCTGTAATAACAGATTGTTGCAGGAAGTAATGTTTTAATCATAGCACGAATTTTTTTTTACAACCAGTGTTTTTCAGACTTTTTCTCCAGGAGGGGAGAGGGGTGGGGAGGGAACTTGGTAAAAGTGTATATTCAATCTATAAATTTTATTTTATTCGGGGACTAGTGGGGGTGGAGGTAGATACCGATCATGGACATTTCCAAAAAAAGAGGGTGATAGGTTGCTAGAATTATTTTTCCTATTATTGTTCATCAATGAAGTTTCCGTTTATGACATACAAATGGAATATTCTCAGAAAAGGACGCTAATGCTATTGACAGTATACTGTCAATACTTTCTGAGTGTTGGTTTTACGGTATAACCCATGTCCGTCAAATGTCATAATTGGGTTAAGGAATGTGTAAGGGATATGGTTATCATTGATGGTAAAGACATTTGTATTTAACTACCAGTAATTTAATCTACACCTGCCCCAATTTTTTAAGACTTTTTAAAGACTGTTCTATTTTCCCATTTTCGGATACTGGTACAAATCTTACATAAGTCTTTAACTACAATTCTAGCTCCTACGCTAACCCCTTTATTATACTAAAAACAGCATAAAACAGGTCTTAATTTAATGGTCACTCAAATATCACCAGTTGTTTTTTTTTTTAATTACAGAACTCAAGATGTTGCTGATTACAAAGACTATACCACGTTTAAACTTTCAAGACAATAAACATTCAGACGACTTCATACCTGGTCTCATGGAACCGGAAATGACGTCAACACCCAGCAAAAGACAGGACGTGGTGCGCTACAGCCGGAGGTTCGCCATCTGGCAGGCGTGGAGGTACCTGGGCGGCTGTAGCTGGTGCCACACTGAAGGGTACCTCATGATGAGGTGCGACAAGTGTCAGGCGGCCTGCTACTGCCGAGAGGAGTGTCAGAGAAAGCACAAGGACACTCATAAAGTGGCGTGCAGTAAGTTGGTGCCACACCCCCTTACTTTGTGCCACGCCCCTTTATTTGGTGTCACGCCCCTTTATTTGGTGCCACGCCCCCTTTACTTGGCGCCACGCCCCCTTTACTTGGCGCCGCGCCCCCTTTACTTGGTGCCACGCCCCCTTTACTTGGTGCCACGCCCCCTTTACTTGGTGCCACGCCCCCTTTACTTGGTGCCACGCCCCTTTTATTTGGTACCATATCCCCTTTTACTTGGTACCATATCCCCTTTACTTGAAGTAGGTGGAAACAAAGGGACGCTCATAAAATCACGCAGCAAGTTGGTGCCACGTTTACTTTACCTGGTATAAGTCTGCAGTACCCCATTATTTTATCGATTGTGTCATGTTCTCCCCCACTGTTACCAAATATGGGAGTCAAGTGTTAGATGACCCTACTCTACAACCCTCATGAAGTCTGCAGGTAACTAAGTCTCGGAAGTTTCACGAGTGCCGGTATATTAAGGTTTTTTTCCCCCACTATTTAACATTAAACACAGAACATTGTTCCCATCCCCCACTCCTTCCACTCTTTACAAAAAACTTCCTAGCAGAAATAAATCAGTGGGAATGGTTGAGTGATAACCCATAAGTGAACCAACCAAAAGCTGGACCATTGAACACTCAGCAGTAGTAGAGGGAATGTAAAGGAGAGTGGGCTTAATGTTGTATCGATATATTTTTGTGAGGAAACTTTCTTTACTGTCGACATTTAAACTTAAATCTGCTTTATCCTCTTGCAGAAAGGATCTACTTGTTCAATTTTGCTAAAAGCCGGATACCACAGACCTTCAAGGATGAGATCTACCACAAGCTGGGTTATGTGGGCATGTCGTGTTATCTTGGACTTCTCCCCATAGGATTCAGGTGTAAGTCAGGTACTATGTCCTGTAGGGGCAGGTGTAAGTCAGGTATTACAACCTGTAAGGGCAGATGTAAGTCAGGTATTACAACCTGTAAGGGCAGATGTAAGTCAGGCATTACAACCTGTAAGGGCAGATGTAAGTCAGGCATTACAACCTGTAAGGGCAGCTGTAAGTCAGGCATTACAACCTGTAAGGGCAGCTGTAAGTCAGGCATTACAACCTGTAAGGGCAGATGTAAGTCAGGCATTACAACCTGTAAGGGCAGCTGTAAGTCAGGCATTACAACCTGTAAGGGCAGCTGTAAGTCAGGCATTACAACCTGTAAGGGCAGCTGTAAGTCAGGCATTACAACCTGTAAGGGCAGCTGTAAGTCAGGTATTACAACCTGTAAGGGCAGCTGTAAGTCAGGTATTACAACCTGCTGAGGCGGGTATCAGTCAGCGTTAAAGTTTAGCAGGTGCTAACTATACTGAACAGATACCTATTAAATTATTCACCCACCCATCATTATAAAAAAACGTTATAGTGATCATGGGTCGACTCTAAATGAATGCATAATTTTGAACTCCCTTTCCCCTCTCCTCTATAATGGTAAAACATTAATGACCCCCTCCCCCATCACACACCTGCATTACGATTGTCTTACCTTGACCTGTGTATGTATCGGGACAGACTGAAGGATTCAAGAACGCATCGCGTACTTTAGTAGCGGAGTGTTACTTGTTAAAGTGTACTCAAACCTGTGCTGCTAGTGATCTATCTCGTTCATTTTTCCCACTTGTATGTTGACACTTGTATGTTGACACTTGTAAACTTATTGTTGTACATTCGATCGTTTTTCCCGCTTGTATGTTGACACTTGTAAACTTATTGTTGTACATTCGATCGTTTTTCCCGCTTGTATGTTGACACTTGTATGTTGACACTTGTATGTTGACACTTGTATGTTGACACTTGTATGTTGACACTTGTATGTTGACACTTGTATGTTGACACTTGTATGTTGACACTTGTATGTTGACACTTGTATGTTGACACTTGTATGTTGACACTTGTATGTTGACACTTGTATGTTGACACTTGTATGTTGACACTTGTATGTTGACACTTGTATGTTGACACTTGTATGTTGACACTTGTATGTTGACACTTGTATGTTGACACTTGTATGTTGACACTTGTATGTTGACACTTGTATGTTGACACTTGTATGTTGACACTTGTATGTTGACACTTGTATGTTGACACTTGTATGTTGACACTTGTATGTTGACACTTGTATGTTGACACTTGTATGTTGACACTTGTATGTTGACACTTGTATGTTGACACTTGTATGTTGACACTTGTATGTTGACACTTGTATGTTGACACTTGTATGTTGACACTTGTATGTTGACACTTGTATGTTGACACCTGTAAACTTATTGTTGTAGATCGAGTCCTGGGAGGAAAATACGTCATCATCCTGCAAATTCTTGAAGTGGCTCGCTGCACCCATCCTCCATTTTACATGCTAATAAAAACACAGGTAAACTTTATTTTTCTCCAGGTGTTCAACTTGTTTGTGTTGATAATAAAAGATATGTTGTTCCTGATAAGATCCTGTAATACTCTAGTCACCTCCCCGACCAATTTAAATTTTGTATTACCTGTCTTTATTAGACAATATCACGGCGTGGTCGTGTGGTACAGCGCACGATTACCAACTTGAAAATCTCGAATACGCGATATGGTGTCTGTAGAACTTCCCCGAGTTCACCCAGCTCTATTGGGTACCTGATTCTTCGGTGGCCTATAAACTCCTCCACCCCCAAGGACCTTTTACTTCACAGCTTTGCTATCCATTTTACTTTGAGTAATTCCATCGCCATTTTGTTTCAGGATATCCTCGGGGGTCAGGCCCACATCCACGTCATACTGAAGAATCGCGGGGAGATCAAGGCGCTCAATCTGGTGATGTTCTACGCCAAGTTCGTCCTCCTGATGGACGCCCCTGACGTGCAGGTGTCGCCCTCCAACAATGAGCTGGACATCTTCATCAAGGACATACGTCACATGACTTTCATTGGAAAAACAAAGAGCTCCGATGTAAACAAGAAGGCAGATAGCGGTGTAAAAAGGAAATAGAATTTTGGGTCAACGAAGTATGACGATGATTTTAACTAGATCTGAGCTATATTTTTACTAGAACAAAGTGAAATTTTGTTTTGAATGTGCAGTTCTGGATGTGCAGTTTATTTTGTTTCTGTAGTGATGTTTTGTTTTCATGTAGTTTGATTAAAGTAAGATTGTATTTGATGTTGTAAACTTGCATTTGTTATAGACTTGCTCGTGTTTTTAACTTAGTAGATGTACTTTTGATGAGGAGCATGAATTGTTTAAATGAATTTTTAAAAGTAGCAGTGTAAAGAAACTAAAGATTTAGAATGAAATGTGTAGAGATAATTTGAGGCAACTAATTAAAACGAATCTTCACAGCTTGTTTTGTTGTGATTTCTCTTGGTAGCATGATGTGTTGTGTATGTTGGTTGTGAGTTCTGTGTATGTGGGTGGGTTGTGTGTTGGATGGGGTGAAAATGAGGTTGTGTTCGAACGGTATACATGTAGTTTAAGCATGTCACCAGTCATTTTCTTTCCCGAAATAATTTTGACGGCCTAACTTATTGAAATAGTTGTAACCTACGTCACTTCTCGTTCAGTTTCTTTACATCTGTGCCTGATTTATTCATGCCCGGATTCCTATGTGTAGTAAGATATTTTATTCACGACTAGATTGCTATTAGCTAAAAATATGTAGTAGGCCTTACATTTTTTGCCACCTTTAGATTGCTAATAGTAGCAAGTATGAATCCCATAATATTCCTGTGTAAACACTTCAGTTACGTTACAGATATTGTGGATTATTTTTTTTATAAATTGTTGAAAGGGATTATGAGTGGAGGTAGGTGTGGCATAATGCCATAATATAAAACCAGGTTCTTTCTTTGGTGAATGTTCACCTTAAACTGTTGGGTGAATACGTTGACACAAATGTTGATGTAGAAAGTGATTTAACGTTTTTTTTAAAGAAGTACATGGTGCAGTTTATTTTTATACATGTACATTTTTATTTTTATACCAGTACAGTTTATTTTTCACTAAGTACCAAGCCAGATGAACAATATGCTGTCGCAATAAAATAAAACAAAATTTGCTTTCTTTTCCCCCCACCCACCACACTATCTCTTCAAATGTAGAGGTCACAGAAACAAGTCAACTCTACTTCACTTGCCCCGTAGACCGAAAGTTTTGATAAGGAACTTTATTCCCCCCCCCCCCCCCAACTAGTAACTCAATCGTATTATCGCGTAGATGTAAATCTACCACACCAAATCTGAGATACATACCAGCTTAACCCACGGAGTTTATAATCAGCTGTCTCCATCTGTCTAATGAAGCGTTGTACAAGTCATGTGACTAACATGTGTATCAATTTGTGGGTTAAGCCATGAAAGGCTAGACAAAAATAGACATGACCTAATTCTTTTTAATATAGTATGTTACCCCATCACTTTTGGTTTTAAATTCAGTGAACCAGAGAATTCTAGAATATGCTAAAAATATATCCGGTTGGCAGAAAATCTCCTAGAATAGCTTTTTACTTAACACGTAACCCTACCCGCTTGAGACGGGTCAAAACAGAATCCCCATCAAAGGTAAAATTACCTGCAATGACAGTTTAAATATCGGGATTTCCCGTTATGAAAACACGTAAAGAGAATCCTCCTGCTGCCAAATATAGAATAAGTCATCAATCTCTGTCATGTTATTGGGCTTTATTGTTAACATTTTTTATAATAATCTATCAACAAATGAATACGATGAAAAATTAATTTTTATACAAGTATAACCATACCTGCAAAACGTTAGAGAACTAATTAATAATCAGGATTATTTTTGGCAATTTATTTACATTAATTTTTTTTCTATCCGTTGGTGACCTACTTTCGGTATACGTCTAGAGAGCAGTCACAACAAATGACGCATTGCCTCGAAATATAAAATCGGGAATAACCGAAAAGCTTACTGTGAGAGGCACCTATATTAAAGTGCTAAATGTAAATTCGCTTTACTCGGTTTGTTTAGCTCTAGCTGCTGTGGTGGTCAAATCGCTTTCTATTGGATTGAGAATAGTTAGTTCTACTTTTTCAACTAGCCAATACAGCGACAGGTTGGTTTTATATAATTATATAATTAAAGTTTTTTTTATATTATTTTAATAATTTGTGTAAATGGCAATATTTAAAACCATGTTCATTAAATAAATAATGCATTTTAAAACACGTTTTTGTTAGGAAGACGTTCGATATCTCCATTATGTTTAACTTAAGGTTAGGTTAATGGTTAGGTCAAGACTTAAGTTTCAGAGTTAGGTTACTGTTGTGGTTTTTTTAGAGCTTGCTTTAAAATTATTTGTCAAAGACTGTTAGTGTTAGGTTAAAGACAAGGTTAAAGGTTTATACTGATGGCTATTTTAGAGTCAGTGTTAGGTTAAAACATGGTTTAGGGTTAGTGTTAAGGCAAGGGTTATGGTTATTTAGATTTGTGAAAAATATTACCAGTTTATTTTCCTAGTTGTGTAAGGAATGTAGTTTCTGTAATACAAGCAGTACAAAATGTGTTTCTAATGTACATTTCAGTCTATAAATATTGAGGCTGAACAAGGTTGTAAAACATTTCTGCGTGAATCAACCCAGTCGTTTGGAAACATTCAACTGAAGTTTTGCTAATGACGACATGCCTTCACCAAACGATCGACGTCATCAAAAAAAGAAAACACGCTGTAAAAATCTACGAAACAAGATACAGAGGTCATCAGTGGGCAACAACTCATCTAAGGACAACAACCCTGTGAAAGATGTCGTGCCCTACGACCCAGAGTTCGCCAGAGAACAAACCCAGCTACACGGAGGTTATTGCTGTGTGTGCAGGAGGGTGGGGTTTGACATGCAGATGTGCAGCAAATGTGCAGCCAGATTCTGCAACCAGAAATGTTATCACCGCCACAACAACTTGTTGAATCAGAAAACTATTTGTGGTAAGTTATGTGTGGTGTTTCATTGTGATGTATGGTGTTTCATTGTGATGGTTGAAGTGTGGTGTTTAATTATGATGTTTGATGTTTAATTGTCATGTGCAGTGTTTAATTGTGATGTTTGGTGATTAATTGTGATGTGTGGTATTTTATTTTGATAAATGGTGTTTAATTGTGCTGTGTGGTGTTTAACTGTGTGGTGTTTCATTTTGATAGTTGGTGTTTAGATCTTGTTTGGTGTTCCATGCTGGTGTTTGGTGATCAATTTTAATGTTTGATGTTTCATTCTGATGGTTGTTGTTTGGTGTTTCATTCTGATGGTTGTTGTTTGGTGTTTCATTCTGATGGTTGTTGTTTGGTGTTTCATTCTGATGGTTGTTGTTTGGTGTTTCATTCTGATGGTTGTTGTTTGGTGTTTCATTCTGATGGTTGTTGTTTAGTGTTTCATTCTGATGGTTGTTGTTTGGTGTGTATTTGATAGTGTAACAATGACAGACAATTAATTAGATACAGGCAATCACAAGCAATCAATTAGATGCAGACACACTTCGTTAAACTCCAGAAAACATTTTGTAAGCCATGTACTAAAATACTCAGCTGAATATTAAATTTGCTACACTAAATACCTTGTACAAGTAATATAGTTTTAAAATCTTTTGATTAGTCAAATTTACTGAGTTTTGTAATTAAAAAAAATTATAAAACAATAATTGACATCATGATTAGCAATTACAATCAAACTATTTAATATATCCATAGATATTAAAAAAAATCTTCATTGGTAATAGTTCACGCATTGCGTTATAGTGACGAACAAGATACGAATTTTAAACGTGTTGTTTTTAGGTCGAACTCGCCAGTTCAAGGAAGCTAGAGCCAGAATACCCCAGGATCTGAAGACGTGGTTGTTTAAAAATCATTACCAGGAAATTAGCACCAGATTGTGTACCGTTCTAAGACGGGAAATCTGTAAGTAATTTTGTAGTCTTACATAGTTACATGGCTTACATAACTACACGCCTTACATACTTACATTGGACGATGTAGCCTTTACATAATTACATAGGGCGATGTAGCCGTACATAATTACATTCGTCAATGTAGTTTACATAGTTACATAAGACGATGTAGCCTTGCATAATTACATTGGTCGATGAAGCTTACATAATTAAATTGATCGATGTGGTCTTACATAATTACATTGGACGAAGATCAAATAATTAATTAATTTAATTATCCCATCAGCAAGCACCCTAAGGCTGCTAGCGTTCAGACGGTCTATTGGCATTGTGTATTGCTACTCATTGCTAGATTATCACCAGTCATTATAATTATTTCTATCAATGTATTTCTATTTAATTTAGACGTGTTGATGAAAGGAAGAGTATGGACGGTGTTACTAGTGCAAGTTCTAGTTGTCAATACATCGGAGGTCGTGGTTCAGGTAAAGATAATTTAATGATTAGAAATTTGATTTTACGAAACCATGTGGTTGTTCTCTCTCCCCCCCCCCCCATTCATCAACCATTTTAAAGTTTTACGTTGTCTTAGTGGGGCCATAAAATTAAATCAGTTATAGCTTATATTCTCGTATATAAAATTATAAACAGTTAAAGTTTATTTATTAGTTTATAACAAAATTATAAGCAGTTAAAGTTTATAAATTCGTATATAACACGATTACATTTATTTTCAGGATGAAGATGGAAACTGGACCCTCTTCATCTTTCATCGTCCCGAGAAGGTGGAAGAATCGTTCTGGAATAATGTACTCGGTATTTTACTCCAGCCTGGGGTGTTTATTTTGTTGTTGAATGGGTGCTGGAACGTCCACGGGGACAAGAACTCGGCTGCTGTTGATATCTTTGACATGCAACAAATCAAGGTCATCCCTGGAGCCCTTTCATGAAACTCTGACAGGCCTGGGGTCCTGATGCTACATTAAGGTCATCCACAGTATCTTTAAAAACACGGACAGGCCAGGGATTTGATGTTAAATTAAGGTTATTTCTAGTCTCTTAATTAAAAAAAACAACTCTGGTAGACCAGGGGTCCTGACGTTAAAGTAAGCTCATCCACAGCCTCTTTAAAAAACACGGGCAGCTCTGGAACCTAACGTCGTTCAACACAAACCATTTGACTGTGGCATTCTCAAGCACCGGCGTCGATTCTCTATCTCCAAACACCTATCGTGACAATTCCTTAATGGTTCAGCTGTTGAATGAAAACAAAGTTTTACACGAACAAAGCCCCGTTCAAGTTGCAATCGTTTCACTTGTAACTATAACGTGGAGCTAGTGTAGGGCTACACCCTGTGACAAAATCTTGAAACGTCCTAACAGTTCATCTTACATGACCTGCAATCTGTGACTTAATCAGACGGAGTACTCTAACAACTCACGTGAAACGTCCTAACAGTTCATCTTACATGACGTGCAATCTGTGACTTAATCAGACGGAGTACTCTAACAACTCACGTGAAACGTCCCAACACTTCATCTTACATGACGTGCAATCTGTGACTTAATCAGACGGGGTACTCTAACAACTCACGTGAAACGTCCCAACACTTCATCTTACATGACGTGCAATCTGTGACTTAATCAGACGAAGTACTCTAACAACTCACGTGAAACGTCCTAACACTTCATCTTACATGACGTGCAATCTGTGACTTAATCAGACGGAGTACTCTAACAACTCACGTGAAACGTCCCAACACTTCATCTTACATGACGTGCAATCTGTGACTTAATCAGACGAAGTACTCTAACAACTGATTGATGATCAGGTTCCTCTACATGTTGTCAAACCATTTTGCCTGTAAATCGATGCTAGTTAATGAATGACTGATGTTTACAGATGTGATATTTTTGTTTTCCGTCATGACGTACTTATAATATTATGTTTTAAATGAAAGCACATTAAATGCAGTTGTAAATATGTATATAATTTGTAGGTAATGTTACATGCAAGATATTATCTGTTATTTGAACTATCGTTACATATTGTAAGCATGTTGTTTTTCTGTTTTACTACCCAGTATCAGATAAACTCATAACTTTGATGTCATACTATTTTAGGTGTCGATATTTATTTAGATTTCGATATATTATGCTTTTGTTAAAAATTTGATTAATGTATTGTACTTCAAATAAAATTTCAAAAAGAATTTTTAAAAGTTTGTTTTCATAGTGGGTAAAAATGAGTGACCGCATTACTTAACCTTATATGGGTAGAGTGACCGCATAACTTAACCTTGTATGTGTAGGCTTCTCTGACCAGAGTTTCTTCCAGGCATCTCTTCGGGGGGGGGGGGGACAAAGCCCCCCCGAAAAATTTTTACCGCCCCCCCCCCCCCCGAACGAAATGAAATTTATATAATTTATATAGAAAATACATACTTTTAACAGTGTCCGCCCCCCCCCCGAAGAAAGTCTACCGCCCCCCCGAAAATTTCAAGTGCCCCCCCCCCCCCCGGAGAAAAAAGTCTGAAGAAACACTGTCTCTGACTCAACTTCTGAGTATACTCAGCTTCAAATGAGTACCTGACTCGCCATGGAAAGTAAAGGCCAATGACAAGAGAAACAACTGAACTCTACTCCATCTGCGGCAATGAAAACATCTAAGTGGAAACACATAATTCATATCTTTAAATACAAACATCAACGCTCATTGCACAAAATCGCAATCCTAAAAATAGCATCCACCTGCTTTATTGATGTTTTTTGGAGCTTCCTAAAACGTCAACAGAACGTGCTGCGTGTCTGTTGTTTTGATTGGTCGCTCGTGTCTGTTGTTTTGATTAGTCCGTTGAGTCTGTTGTTTTGATTGGTCGCTTGTGTCTGTTGTTTTGATTGGTCGCTTGTGTCTGTTGTTTTGATTGGTCGCTGAACTTAACTGTGAGTATTAGACCAACGAGATAGATGGCAGAAATGTATGCCCCAACAACCCAGTGGTTATGGGATTATTGATTGATTGATTGATTGAGTGATTGATTGATTGACACCAACCCTAAACACAATCCTAGACATCTTCAGTAAAATCCCAGCCTCACTGT